TTAATTGTAAATCGAGGCACGGGTTGTGACAGGCAGTCAGCTGACGAGCCTTGATTTTCAAATTGAACGAATCATTTATTTCAACGATTTCTAGCTGTCAAACGGGTCGTGTCGAATAATCTCAATTTTGTGATATCATTCCGATCTATTTAAATGTTATTCATTATCAAACTAAACTTGACTTGAATTCAATAACGTATTCTAATTTGTAAGAAAATAAAAAAAATGTCGCATTCATTATTTAACATATAAATGTCTAAGGTTTTTTTGACCAAGCTGATGTGTAGCCATTTCACATGGAAAGTTGAAAGATAATACAACATTTAATAAAAGAGAATTGCATTATACTCATTATCACTTTGTGTTGAACAATAAATACGTGAAAATAACAGTCACAAGTCACGTGGCAAAAGATAATTTTTAACCACAGAGGTTATTTTTATAAGAGAACAATTGTACCCTCCTTTAAACATGCACTATTTATTTAGCATGTTTAATCATGGAACACGAGTGGAAAGCTTTTGTTGTCCACATTCCATCCCTTTTATCTATTCTATGGCTAGTGCCAATATACCCCTGGAGACACATGGCGAGGTAGAGTGCCAAACGAAAACAATCACCTAATGCACATTACCGATATATTACCCAGTGCCAATATATAACGTAGCGAATGAATCCTCCAATACTATCGTAACTCAATGTCACCTATTTATATTAATGCTCTGCACTGCTTTTAGCTTCACGATATAAAACCAATATTACCATTTTGCATCGTAGTGTTGAGACCAAGCGTTGGCTTACATACTTTGCTCTTAAATGTGTGATAAAAGTCGCAACCTGACAGAACATATTAAAACTGACGCCGAAAAATTAAAGGAAAAAAATTTCTTTGTTAAATGACTATATTAAATAATTAATGTATAAAATATCAAATTGTCGCAAATGTAGTGCAATTATATAAGTTTATTTTATTAACTAATTATTTTCTCTTATTTTCACCTACATCTAACGAGTAAACTAAAGCTTTGTAGCTTTCTCAACACATACACTGACAGAACAAAGTAACAGTAAAATATGGGCGTTTATGAATGCGATTTCAATTAAACTGCAGCTATCAAAACTAAAATTTATTGATCAATTCAACGAGGTAAGAATCAGAGTCGGGGCTTAGCGGAAAGCTCTAACTCTACCGATTAAACCTTTTGGTACCAAATATAAAAAATAGCACCTATTTATTAAGCGAAATTAGACAAAGATGTACGTTCATATCGTGTGTGCAAACTCGCCAAACGGATTAGAAATCCTATGTGCGATATTGCTCATGTTTCATATTTGCTAGTAATCATAATTGATGGGTAACTGTTGGAGGGACAACATAGTTACGTAACCCATACTATTTTTGCAAGTAATGTTTCGACAAACAAATCAATAACAGTAAGTGGATTAATGATATTAAAAGAATATCTGTCCTGATTTCGAAAGCCAGTTTATATTATCATTTCATATTGCGATTGTGCCGAAATATTATTCAAAAATTATTATGCAAAAAGATCGATGTTTCGCTTCGCATTGATATTACAATCAATATTGAGTATTGCTTCGAACGTTATACAATTTATTTAGTACCGAAACGAACGAAGAGTAGAAAAAAACATTTTGTATTGTTTGTACACAAAACATCCTTTACCGATTTTGTATAGCATAGATACTAACAGTACCAGAGAGAACAGACATGTAAGATTTTTCAAATTTAGAACTTCAATAATTATTATGAAGCAATCTGCCGATGTGCCCGCTTCCACGACCTTCTTGCAAATGGCAACGTGACTCGGCATACAAATTAACTATTGAGTCGAACAAAGAAAATCCTATAAAAATGTACATAATAACATGCGTCTCCTTTAAAATTAAGAATATAGTGCAGTGAAAGAAAAAAATATATTCTATCGTTTTCGTCGAGTTCTCCGCTCGGTCAGCGAAGCCTTGTTCTTAGGTGTGTTAATTTAAGAGCCATAACAGAATTAGCAATTACTTTACGTTTACTGTCATAAAACACTTATGATCGAACCTGATGCAAAAATGCAGATTAAAATTAAAATAAAATAAATAAACAATAGTCTGTATTCGAGTACTATAATAAAGATTACATTCTGTTTATTTTTATATTTAATATTAATACACGACCTCCGACGGATTGATGGCCTCTTCCAAATTCTTCCATTTGTCTCTCTTCGCTAAAAAATGGAGATAAGCAGTCTTATTATTAATTCTCACGTTATTTTCGGGTTTCGATCATTTAAGGTTAAATGTTTATCCTACTCTAGCGTAGTATAGAACTAATAATTTGTGCTTCCTGGCCTCGCAACCAGGTTCATTATCCTGATTGGAACACATTTACCGAAACGTCGAGCTTACTAATTGTCCGAAACACAACAGCGCTGATTGTCAGCATTAAGGATCACTAATCAACAACTCAGGACCAGATCAATCAGAAAAATAAAGTGATTTGTTAAAAATAGTTGCCTTGTTTCACAAATATACACTCAAATACCGCCAATAATTCAGTACGTTTTTTACAGGCGGCTATTGGACAGTATGAAAAATATAGTGTCGATGGTAATGTGTATGTAATATGTACAAATCAAAAACAAAAATCAAACGAGTGACGCTACAACCTTTTTAGGTCTGGGCCTCAGATTTTTGTATCGATTTCATGATCATTTGTCAATCTAATATAGGTGATCAGCCTCCGGTGGTTGAGACACGCCTTCGACTTTTTGGGCCTAAAGCAAGGTTTCTTACCGTCACCGAGCGAATGTTAAATGCGCACATAGACAGAACGTCCATTGATGCACAGCTGGGGTTTGAACCTACGACCTCAAGGATGAAAGTCGTATGCTGAAGCCAATAGGCCAACAGTCACTTGACACAAATCGGTGACAGATTAGTCAAATCGACGATGACGTGCTTATAATTAATATATATTTCTTCGCCAGTCTAATGCTCATACTGTCTTGGGGTTTAATTGCATCGGAAACTATTTTTGTTCAAAATACATTGCGTATTTATGTAATTTAAGAATGATAATAAAGAAGTGTTGACACGAATGGTTCTTCATAGGGACTGGTCTTGTTAAAACAAGCGATTTGGAGGGTTTATGAAATTATGAATATTTAATTAAAAAAGTTAAATCCAACACGAAAAAAAAATTTACAGGGAAACAAATTTAAAGGTTCTATAGTGACTAATAAATAGTTTTTTAAAATCTCGTCAATTTGCTTATTGGTATAGCGGTTTTAGCGGTTCATAACTCAACTACAATCTATCCCATCGTATCTATCCTTTCACGTTTACATTATAAGTAAGAAATAGTAGTCAGAATATTAATAATTTTTTTTTTAAAAAGGTAAATAGATCCTTATTAAATATTCATTATGTAGAAGTAATCGGTTCAAGAAGAAAATAAAGTAACTTTCTTTTTAAGTTAACATGCTTACTTACTGTCACCTGTGATAGCATTGTATGTGTGCTTGTGTGTGCTAAAGAGGTAGGTTTAGTTTTCGGGAAATAATTTTCCCGCCAAATAGTATTTTTAGTTACTTCCTACTAAAACTTTACTTCCCTGTCCAGGTTACGTGATGATACAAACAAATTAGTGAACTTCTTTGTGTGAAGTGGTTTTCGGAACAGCTAGTTCCTATAATCTATAAAAGTAACCCATACAAAAAAAGATAATTAAAATCTCTGTCACCAAATATGAATGAATGTATAATTTCCGTGTGATAATCTTAATAAGCTGAAAAAGTTTTTCAAGACGTCACCGACGAAGAAATTATCCTTAGATGAGAATGAGCGATAGCGCGGTCCCGTCGTTAAAGTTTCGTACTTAAGGATCGTCGAAATGGTCAAAGTGAATACTGTAATTAAAACAGACCATCGCGATGCGTGGGATGAAATAAATTTAAGATTATCACGTTATTATTAAAAGTTAGGCTGCATAATATAATTAATTTATATAGATAACACTGTAGCGACAACTACCTTCTACGGCTACAATCACTGCGATGCGAAGTTGAAAAAAAAATGTATGGGTGTCATATTATATATTTAAGCAAATTTGTTAGGTTAGACACGAGTTACGGCTTACGAAGCCCAGTTGAAATGTTTCTCGATTTTTCTACGTTTGAATTTTAAATGTGGCTATCACAGTTTAAATAGGGGTTCTATCATATACTAGAAAAAATTACGTAAAGATTTCATTTTAAGGCTGCTGCCTCGAATTTTGCGGGCAGCAGGGCGGCAGGGGCGGCGGCGCGGAAGCGGCAGGATCTTATGCGTAAAATCAAATGGACCGGTTCTCGAAAACAGCGGCGTGGCAGCGGCGCGAGGGCGGGTAACGAGAGGTGCAATCGCCCGCTCCCGCGCCGCAACCGCCGCCGCCCCGCTGCCCGCAAAATTCGAGGCAGCAGCCTAAGAGGCTGACACATTTATCAGGGCGCTTTAGAGGAAGCCTGGTTACCAGGAAAAAAATTCTGGAAACCCGTTTATAGGCGTTTACAGGTCTGGTTATAGCTCTGCTGAAGGAATATTTAGAATAACCTGTCTAGTTGATGGACGGAATTATGCGCGAGAGAGGGAAAATTATTATTGTTACGTATATTTCGAGTGAAATTAAATCCCATTACAATTAATCCATTGATATTTTTTTTAAAGACCCATGAAGAGATCTTGACGGACAGGTTTTCTATAAGATTCCAAAGCTCGTAACAATATGTATGTTTATTTTCAATTAGTTTTTAGTTAGTCATGTTAGCTAGTAATGTATGGTTTGAGTTTTTATGTCAATATCGACACAACAACTGTAAGATGGAGACCAATAAATAAATAAACAAAGCCTGTTCGAGTCGAAAAATACAACTCTTCATTAAAACATAAAATTAGCACAATCACTTTATTTTTAAATTTGAGAGTATCAATAGGTAATATATGTAAGTAATCTCTTATCGGTTACTACGTCGACTCATGCGCAAGTCCCGTTCAATCTCATACTGTCTAACGTCTGCTCTGCTTAAGAAATCTTGCCGATCCAAGTACCTGCAAAAATAAAATATATTTAATAAGAGGTTTTTAATTTCTTAATTCTGAATGCTGCATAGTCTTGGTCTCTGATTCCTGTATTTGTTATGTGATCATGTTCTTTTAATAGGCAAGTACGTGCCTTCTATGCCTTACAGACGTCGTCGACTTTTTAAGTCTTAAAACATGCCTCACCTCACACTTCTTTCACCGTTCGAGTCCAATTGTGGATGAGCCTCAGCTCTTAAAATTATTTCGTAGACAGTTATTTTTTTTAATACAAAAATTAGGAGTTTTTCTACCTTGTATTTGCAAATCCATTTGTAATTAAATTTGTGTGAAAGTTTACTTTGAAATTCTCAATATAAAAAGTATTATACAAATCGATAGATGGCGCTCTAGTTAATTAAAGTAGACCTGACCGCTATATTGATATTATATTAAAGTCGAAGAAGCTACATTGGATTTAATTAGAAGTAATTAAAAAAATCTATGACATTTATTTTGAAAAAAGAATCTTTTCGTTTGCAGTGCAGTGCAGTCAAAATTTGAATTTAAAAAAGGAACAACATTATTTTTACAATTCCTTTTCCGCATTCATTAATATTAGTTTACTAAATACATATAACATACCCAGATTTTCCTTTATTGTGACTTGTGATTTCCTCTTCGATTCCCTCCTCTCTCTTATAAGTATTCCAATCTAATTTGGACTTTTCCAGAGTAGAGAGTTTGTTCTTCTTATTCAGTTGTCCAACAATACTAGAGAGACCACCTGCACTTCTTGCTTTGGGGGCTGGACTGTCGTTCAATACTAAAATTTATTTTTATTTGTCCATTAAAATACGTGGATAGCTTTTTATGTGGATTTTACACGTCACGAGGTATAAAATAGCTTTAATACTAGAGATTAGGAAACTTTATTCAATTATTATTATTATTATTAATGAATTAGTGGATCCTTTAAACTCTTTATGGAACACGCTTATCTATGATTAATTTGACATACCAATTCTCATAATAAAGTTTGTTTAGTCAACCAGATTTTTCTTAGCATTTGAGTAATCTTTAACCTCTTGTATATATTATTAGATTTCTGTGTGTGTTGTATTTATTGTGATGTCATTTTTGTTTTGGGTAACTCTGCTTAGATAAAATTCAATGTATCAAAATTATCAAATCTATCCTCACTGTGTGAAGACTTAGAACGTGACATTGGCGGAATTGTGATTTACACAGATGTCGCCATTATAAATAAAGTGAAGTGAAGTGAGTAATCTTCGATCAAGGTCTCACAATTCTGTATCTATTTCCTGGTTATATTTATTTTGTATGTTTACGTTACAAATAGGTGCTAAGCGGTCGCGCAGCAGAATCAAAGTGTGTCTTGACACATGTCTTTGATTCCTTACGATATACGATTTGATTTTTAGAAATTGCTGTGAGTAAATAAAAGAAATGTTTTATCTGATACCTTTACATATAATAAATTTAAAACTACAGCGTAAGCAGTACAAGTTATCTCAAGTGCATACCTGAAGCTGGTTTCTCTGCTGTCTTTACCCTTTCCTTTATCACATTATTTTCGACTACAATTGTTTCGCCTGCAAATTCAAAAATTCGCTTTTCTCGTTCATTATCCGATTGAGAACTGGATGTATCACTTTTTTTAGTCTCTATACTATCTTTTTGAACAATTTTTTCTGGCTGAGTAACAATTTCTTCTGTTTTAGATTTTGGTTTAGAGTCTGTACCTTCTAGAAACTGCGCCCATAGATCTTCTTCTCTTTTCTTCTCTTCTTCAGGCTTAGCAATGTTAGTTTCAGGTACAGTAGTTTCGTCGTCGCTCTTTTGTTCTATTACTTTTGATCTCTTATTTCCTTTACTTGGTGGTGCACGTTTCCGCTTTTTCTTAACTGTTTCAACTTCATTGTCATATTGTTGTTCTGTCTCCTCATCAGCTGATTCCTCTTCTGATAGTTTTTCTTGTTCTACTGGCACATAGTCATCATCACTTTCACTTTCAGATGACATTCTAAAATAATAATAAAAAAAATTAAAACGTTACGAAATGTAGGTACATGATAATGAAATCTTAGCACTGTAATTTTCTAGTAATCATGAAATAATTTTCTTATATACCTGTGTAACATTTATTATACATACTCCTAACATAACAAGGTATACTACATATTATACAGAATATAGTCTGTGGCTGAGCTGGCAAGTTGTCAGGGTTTAATTCCTAGTGAAACAAAAAAAAACAAGGCATAGTAATTTTTTTTATTACAAAAGTCTAATATATAAGATGGACTTGTAGCTTCTCTTTTTTTTAAACACAATGAAAAGAAAATATTGCAGTACAAATTCAAGCATATTTAACATAAAATTAAGTGTGTTTTAAAAATTTCAGTGATAAAGACAAATACTCAGTCAAATAAAAATCAGATAGATGCTAAAAAATGCTTGAATGAACCAATAGCAAATAAACATTAACACACATTATTACCATGTATATAATGCACTAATATATAGCAATTACTATAGTAAGATGTAACTAAAATAGGTAATTTATAAAAATAATTAAGGAATTTCAAACTTTTCTAGGTTTAAATAGTTCACAGGATATAAGTTTGCAAGAGTCTATGGTGGTTTGTTCTTTCTTGATTTTTCCTACCAACAACTCATGCACAAACATTTTCCCACCACACAAAGGTTTGACCTGACTACATACCAAGACTATCTCATTATACATAATATGATTTCAAAATGACAATAAACAAAAATGAAAACAATCATGGATAAAAACAACTGTTTATTATGTTTGCACAAAGTAGGTAGGATATAATTAGGGTCTCTTTTTATTTCTGTTTCTATTCTTAACATTAGATACTTCATAGAAGTTGCTTCCTGTTTTAGTACGCTTCTGAGCTCTCTCTAAAGCTCTTCTTTGTTTTGCTGTCATTTTAGCCTTAGCATCTTTTTCATCATTAGCCTTGCGTTTCCTTCCACTCGGAGGAATTTCTTCAATAATAAATGTACCACTCGCAGCCTGAATCTTCTGTTTCTTTATTTCTTTAACAGTTTCCGCATCATGTGTCAGGTAGTCCTCAACATCACTACAATCTATTTCATCATTACTATAGAAACTACTAATATCTGAGTCACTATCATTTCCATCATTATTGGCAGGTTTATCATCATTTAATGAATCCTCAATATTGCTTTTATCAACATCTCCAGTATTGTTAAGTTCATCAATGCCTTTAAGCTCTTCGGGAATTTCTACACGATCTAATGGTTTAACATCATCTTCATTGTCAAATTGTAAACCTACTCTAATTTTCGCAAAATCTTGAGCTATTACTAGTTTATTAACTGTTAAAACCTTTGTTTCGGCAACATCATTAATTTCTGTATTTGGTTCATCGCTAGTTTTCTCTTCTTCTTTTTCTGTAGTAGCAGTCTCTTTAACTTCATTGTCAACTTCTTGAGTATGTTTTGATAGAGGCACTTCGAATCCTTCAGGTGCAACATAAAATGGTAGCTTTCCCCTTTGCCAATCATTAAGTACCATTTTAGCCACTGAGCTAATATCAGGTTCACCTTTTTTTAATAGCTTTCCAGTTCTAGCAGCAAGTTTTTCTAAGAATTCAGTTGATGTTTCCCAGCCATCAACTTTATAGGTTTTTACCATGTATTCTTTACGTACTCTTTTAACAACTTCTTCAATGTAATCTTCAGGATTTTGAACTAATTCAACTCTAACCACACCTTTCAAGACCTTCTCAGTGTCAGTTTCAGCTGAAGGATAAACAATACCAGGACAATCAATCAAATATATCTTCCTCATCAATGTAATATATTGCCAGACTTTGGTTTCTCCAGCAATAGGAGCGACTTTGCACACTTTCTTTGCTCTTAACGTATTGATCACAGAAGATTTACCAACATTGGGATAACCAATAAGTCCTACACTTATTTGTTTCTTATCAATATGCAACTTGGCAAACTGACGCAATAAATTTATAAGAGACCCTTTACCAAATGGATGTGTCATAGATGCATGAAATGCTAGTGTAGGATACTCTGCACTTAGTATAGCTACCCATCTTTGAGTTACCCAATTAGGTACTAAATCTACCTTGTTTAAAATAAATATTAGGTGTTTATGTGGCTTCTCTTCTCGAAGGAATTTTTCCACGTATGGGCTTCTTGTACCCATAGGATCACGAGCATCAAGCACTTGTAATAATACATCTGAGGAATCAATAACTTTATATAGTTCATTCCAAATCCGTCTACTCATTCCAGCACCAAAAATCCATTCCCTCTGACCATCCTTTATGCCAGTGTCTTCACGAACTCTGTCAACATCTTTACTTTCATCATACTTTTCTGAATTTTCTTCAACTGCTTGAGAAAGAGTTTGTAAATCACTAAATTTAAGATTAACACGCTTTCTTTGTTTTTTTGGTCCAAATGTTTTATCAAACCCTTCTGTGTCTAGTAAATGTACTCGAGCATGTTTAGCTTTCTCATTTAATAAAGTTATGGGCAAATTGGTAGGTTTCATAACAACCTGATAGGGATTTTTAACCGCTGCCCCAAATTCATCTTGAAACTTTTGTAATGCATTCTGTGAAATAACTCTGGAATTACCAAACCATTTCTGATTGGGTTCAACTCGAGCTTGTGTACCTGAAGGTAACCAGCCTTGAAACGGCGCCGGGGTCAATATCTTTCCTGTTTTGTCCCTCTTAGCTTTAAAATTTCTATACATTTGAAGCCTTTTTATAGTACCTTTTGTACGTGGTTTTCCAACACCTTTTAAGCCTTCGGTGGGCCGTTCAGGATTCATAGAATGCCCAGACTTGTTAAAGCCCTCTTTCCGGGGCGCTCCCGGTGCAGACCGCACTTTTCCCATGGTTAAATCTTAAATCACGTTACTTTTATTATAATAATCACAAATATTTTATTAATAATGAAAATGTGGAGGTTAACAATTCACATGTACATTAATTGTAGATGTACATCTGTCTTGATTCTTGACATAAAGTATGGTAAACTGCTGACTTCACGCCGCACGCGAGTGCCTTCGAAATATCTAATAAAATTTAAAAATAGAGTGATACTCACATGGGCCGTTTCAATTTGTTTGCCAGCACAATAATGCAAAACCGATAACGGTGATATTTCTATTCAAAATAAACGAAATGGTAAAGTAATTTAAACAATCAATACGAATTAATGTTGATGCAGTTCGCTACCATTTAACTAACTTCAAGACGCTCCAGACTCCAGTGTCCATAGATAATACTAATATATCTGCTCCTTGTATACACATCTAGATGTACATTAAAAACTGCTCAATAGTGTTTTACACACATATTGTGTTTATTTTTCTATGATTCTAATTATAGAATAGTGAATACTAATATGTTATGGTTTCTATTCAACATATTCAAGATAAAAAAATATCACTGACCACTCCGGAATACATCCAGCCCCGATACGACAGCTCGATAAATAATATGTAATCTGTTGTTATTTGATTATTGTTATCGCAATCTGTGACATACTGGTAAAGTCAGAAGTCAAAACTGAAAAGTTGAACAATTAAAAATACATTTTGATATTTACAAATGTCGAAAACATAATTTATTTGTAAAAAGTAACAATGATTTAGCAACTGTTTAGAATTATTTGACTTAAATGTGTAAATGACCAATAATGATGCAGATCATAGTCATAAGTCAACAATCAAAATCGTACTTGCTTTCTTAACATAGATATGCCATGTTTTGTGTCTGGATAATTTTATTGAAGTAATATTTTTATGTGGACAACAACTATCCCGATGCCTTTATGCATCAGAATTTATAAGGCAACATGTATGACATGTTGTCGGAATTCAGAGTATCAGAATTCGATTCATTTGTGGATATATTAAGATTGACTCCAATTGACCCTTTAGACACTTTTGGTGAAATGTGGTATCCTGTGTTTCTTTGGTCCTTGTGCTCCTCTGTTTTTGTCCACACGTGTGCTGCGTTAGTTGCGTTCGGAACATTAAGAAAACATAAATATGGAAAATTCTTCCCTGTGCTTCTAATAGTGATGGGAGTAATGAGCCCGGTTACCTCAGGGGTTGCAAGTAGTGCAGCTATTGCCTTTATCTACAGGGCAGCTAATTTAACTATGCCACCAATACATGCAATGATTTGGGGAATCGGACAGACAATTTTAGGGGCAGGAATTGGTTTCACTAGAATATTAGCTACATTGTAGTAAGCATTCATAACTTTGTATGTACATTTAAGCTATGTCAATTATAAATAAAATGATTCTTTTATAGTAAATGTAAAGAGGAATGGTGCTAATTAGTATATTCCAGTATAACTAGCATGTTCATATTATATGGTGTGGTAGAATAAATACTCATTAAATGCGACTTTAATAAATAATTAGTGTGTTATTATACTGTATAAGTACATTACAGTGACCCTGAATATAGGCATATTATATTCCTTTGCATTGTCTAGTGTAAAAAGCTCATTTCATTCCTTTTGTACAAGATGTATAGCATTCCATAAGAAAATGAATTATCCTTGATCACTGGTCTAGTTATTTAATTCCCACCGATTAACCAAGATATGTAAATTGTATACTAAATGTGTAACTCTCATGACTATTTGTACTTAAATCATATTTGACCCAAACAGTTTTTAGAGATGATATGGTAATATTATAACAGATATATGTAGTATATTCTCTTTCCCAACAGTTTCTATTAACTTTTGAAACATGGATAAAACTAAATTAATAGATATAGTAATTATAGATATTCACTTTGTAATATATATAATTTATAATGGTGATGTATGTATGTAACTTTGATATATAAGCAAATAAAAAGTTTTATAAAAATGTTGTGGCAATTATTTTTAAACTGATAGGTATAGTGTATTGTTTATAGTTTGTAATATAAAATTGACAGAATCATTCTTATTTTATATTGGATTTAAAAAAGATAAAGAACATACTTTCTAATAACATATATTTAAATTATGAAGTTTTAACTATAATGTGCTTCCATGTCTAGTGCAATATTTATTTTGAATGTCATCAAAGTGTGCACTGTCGTCATCCTCATTACTATTTTCATGTAGAGTATCATCCAGCAAGAGAGGTAGTGCTAACTCTTCTCTTTGGAAAGGATTCTGAAACCAAAATAATTAAAAAAAATTACATGATTAATTTACAACTAGAGAAGTTATATTGTCTTTTAAATAAATAAAAAAATTTACCTCATTAATATCAGACTCCCTTCTACTAAATATACTGACACGCTCTTGCAATGATTTTGTTTCAGAAGTGGCATCTTGTAAAGTCAGTTTTAATTCTATAATTTCTCTTCTTGCGTTAGATAATAAATTCTCAGTGGTTAATACTTTTTCAGCTAACACTTTTTTTTCAGATTCCAGTTTACATTTAGCATTAGATAAACTTTTAATTCTATTTTCATAAAGCTTCAATTCAGAATCTACATCATCCATCCTTATATTTTTTTGATCACTCTTTAAATTATGACACATTTTCTTTAGGTATTCTACATTTTGTTCTAAAACAGATTTTTCTTCACTAACCAATTTCAGTTCTTGTTGTAAGGAACTAATTTTACATTTTAAAGAGGTAATGCAAGCTGATTGGCTATCAATCTCTCTATCCTTGTCAATTACTTTTTCTTCTAGACCTTGTATTTTTGAAATATATGATTGCAATTTAATGGATTTTGAGGCTGACTCGTTCTCAAGGGAATGATTTGTATTTTCTAAAATATTTGCTTCAACAGATAGGCTGGCAAAATGTTCTAGCATATCTGAACGTTCTGCCTCTTTATGTGACAGTAATTCTTCAATTCTTCTAATTTCAGCAACATAATGCTGCAATTGTTGTTTCAAATCATCAACTTCTTTTCTTGATTTCTCTAATTCAATTCTAGTAAGCTTAAGAGCTCCATTTGCATCAGCTAAACTATTTTGCATATGTTTATTTTCTATAACAGCTGTATCAAACTGTTGAGTTAATCTCAGAATCTCACCATTCAAGAATGCTATTTGTGATTCAAAATCAGCTATTTTATGCTCTGCAACTTTATTCATGTTTAACTTACGCTTAAAGTCTGAAAGTTCATTTTCTAATTTACTAATGTCATATAATTGTGATTTTAACTTTTGCTCCAACATATTTGTATTTTCTGCCTTTTGGTCCAGCTCAATTACAAGTTTATCACGTTCTTTATCAAATAATCTTATGTTTTCAATTAGGTTTGATTTATCATTCTTAAGCACACACAACTCTGCTTGATAGTCTTTACATTTCTTCTCTAAGCTTTCAATTGTATCTTTTGCTATACTAAGTTTTTTTTGAGTGCTTAATAATTCATTTTGTGATTCAGTTGTGCTCCTTTCAGTTTCCATCTGTATGTTTTTTATTTGACTAGCTAAAGTTTTTTCTTTAATTAATTCACTTTGTAGTTTTTTTACCTGCTCTCTCAAAGTATAATACTCTTCTCTAAGTCTATCACTAGATGCTTTGCCTGTTCTATTAGTCATTTTATAAGAACAATTTTCTTCTTGTATTTGTTCTAATTGTTTTTGCTTAAAAATTAAATCTCTTTTAAGTTTATCACAAGAATCTAATAACTCTTTGTATAGGGCTTTATATTTATGAGTTTCCTTTCTTGATTCATCAATGTCTTGTGTCAGTCCAGCAATCTTATTCTGTAACCTGCTGTTTTCCTCACTCAAGTAATTATTGTTTTCAAAGCCTTCGGTTTTGCTAGCTTTGTACTGGCTTAGTTGTTGGCTCAATAATATGTTCTCTTTGGATAGTTCAGTATTTTCTAAATTTAAATGTTTTATTATATCTTTGAAATTATTTTTATTACCGTCTTCTTGCAGGAGTTTAACTTTTTTAAGATCATCATTCTCTTTCTTCAACATCAAAACTTTTTGTTCACTTTCACATAGTTTGCTATGTAAGTCTTTTATAAAAGCATTATTTGATTGAAGACTAGAAGTTTTTTCATCTTTCAATTGGCAGTTGAATAAGTTTATAGTTTCATTGAGCTTTTCTTGTACATCTTTAATATATTTCTCATATTTCCTTCTTTCATCTTCCAGTATCTTTTGGAAGTCACCTTTAGATAGACATTTTGGACTATCACTATTATTTTTAACAAGTTTGTCTTGGTGAAATTTATTAGTTTTAGATAAGGACAATATTTTGTCCTGTAAACTTCTATTTAAATCCATTAAATCTGTTATTTCTTTCTGCAATATGGTTTCTTCATTTTCACTCATATGTTTTGTGTATTTCAATGAATCTTTTTTCTGAAAGCTTGTTAAGTCTCTCTCTAAAATAAAATTTTTGGTATTTAAGTTTTCAACTTTTGTCTGTAGAAAAGTAATTTCATTAGTTAAGTCTGCAAGTCTCTTATTACAATCATCTTCTACTTTTAATGCCAACAAATCCATATTTTGTAATTCATCTTTGAGGGCTTTGTTTTTATCAGCTAGTTCTAAAGCTCGCTGCATTGCTTCATGTTGTTTCTCAAGGCTCTTTTCGAGTTCCTTCTTTAACAATTCATTACAAATATCTAATTCTTTAACTTGTTTGTTTAAATGTAGAATTCTGTTTTCTGGTTTATCACTACAAAAATCTTTTGTAATAGCAGCAATGGGTCTACCACCCTCCAGAAGTAATTTTAGTCTAATGATTTCATTATCTCTATGTTCCACTTGATTTTTAAGAAGGATTATTTCATCATTGTATGAGTCTATTTTTTCTTGTAGTGACTGAATAGTGCTAAATGTTTCTGTCATATTTTCTTTATCTAAATTAATATTTTTATTGTTGCAAATACAACTTTTATAGACAGCATTATCTCCAGCATCTTTTCTTTTACTGCGATTACGGCTACTAAATGTTTCAGTGCATAATCCTCTTAAACTTAAATCTCTTACATCATGTTGTAATTTGCTTATCAAGTTTTCCTTTTTAATCAGCTCCTCTGTTAGAGACTTCAATTTTTTTTGACTTTCTCGCATTGATTTTAAATGTTCCTCTTTCTTATTAATAATATCATGATGTAGTTGATTGTTTTCTTGAATAAGTTTAGTATTGTCACATTTATAAGGTTCTAATTGTGTTAACAATGAATCACGCTGTAACAATGCTTCTTTGGAAATATTCATATAATGCTGTAAACTTCGAGTCGTCTGTAATAAGTCACCTAATAAACATTCTACTAAATTAACTGCATCTACTGGTAATGTGTTATTATAACCAAGCTCTTCTAGTTGGCGTTTTAAATTGAAATAGGACTCTCCCATTTTAAAAACAGACCAACAGTTACGTTTTCATTTGTTGTCCTTTCTTAAAAACAATATAAACTATAAAATAATTTTCAGTTTGTTTACAGTTTTAAAATAACTTTTCAGTGTCAATATTTGTATGACATTCGCATTTCATTTTCAGATCACAGATATATTTATTAAATTCAGAATAAAATACATGGACTAAGATTATTGTGCGTTTTCCAATTACAGCACTAGAGCGCATTTTGCGGGCTGCGGCATAATGCTCAACGTTGAGTGTTCCAACTACAGCAACGCTTCGCACAATTGAGCACTCTCAAAACGAATGCTCTCGCAAACAATACCAACACAGTGACAGAAAATTGACCAGTATTTTTCTTTAAGTTGGCATTTATCGAAATTTTCGTTAGTAAATATTATTTATTGTTGAAAAATTTGTAATGGTAGCTGTACACACTCGGCGAGACACCCCGAGACAGGCCGAGGGCGAGAGTGTACAGTAGAGCTCTCGTCTCGCCTCGCTTCCTCGCAGTCGGTCTCGCCTCTCTCGGTCGCCTGTCGGTTTTTTGCGCACGAGTCAAAGGGTCTCGCGAGTAAAACGAGAGCGACCTGTACACACTCGTTCAATCACTTGCTCGATGACTGTGGTTGTGACAGGACGTATCGCACAATGTGGTCTAACGAACGCTCCCAATTGAGGAACTAAAGAAAAAGCGAGATTCACTCATGGCTACGTACCGTGGACATAAAAGAAAGATTAATGCATCTATACAATCAGGCGTTGCAGCTGACTCTGTCTATAAACCAATATGGTTTGCGTATGATTTTATGGATTCCTTTTTTAAGTGATATAACTCAATGTAGAAAAACTATAAATACAGAAACACTAAGAAACACAGTAAGCAATTATTTTTATTCTTTATAAGTATGTAGGTTAGGACTTCGAACAATATACAGTATTAAATAAGGTTATTAGAAACAAAGGCCTAGCTGGTAAGTTTTCTATTCAAACCATAATTAGGTATACATTCAATGAATTTACCTTAATAATAATAAAAAATTTGCACATTTGCCTGTAATCGTCTCTTTGGCAGGCTTATACAAAAATATAGTTTTCTTAAATAAAATTATTATTAAGGTATACCTAAATAATTTAAGTTGTATGGAAATCACTATAATGTAAACTATATTAATAATTATGCTATATAACTATTTAAGAAATATGTTGCAAATTCATCTCTAATTTCATTTGCATTCAGTGATGATCTTTTTGCTATTTGTTGTAAAGGTCTGATGGCATTTTTTTTTATGGTAAACGTGAAGAAAATTATAATAACTTATTGCACAAAGACAAACAGCAGCAGCGGTTTCCACGTCCATTATTAACGGTGTTTTAAATACAAATAACGTAACGAGTGTGTACAGGCTGCGCTCTTCTCTCGGTCCTCTCGGTCGAGACTCTCGGCGAGAGGCTCTCGCCGAGTGTGTACAGCCACCATAAGGCTTTCGTTTCGTCGTAGATTTTGAAAATAATTAAAGTTATTTCAAACTGCTAAAAAAATAAATATTAGTATGGATGAAGGTATAAATAGTTACTTTTTTTTATATTCCACATTTAAAATATGAATACAATTTTATTTTAAAATTCGGATCTGTAAACAAATTTACTTAACAGGATTATACTTTAGAAAAAATTGCAATGGTTTTGAAAAAGTATATATTTTTTTAGAAATCATTAAAAAATATTACTCAAAACGTAAATGATGTAAACTTCTTACATGAAACTAAATATTTTACTGTTAATTTAGCTTGTTAAAACCTTATATTCTTTAAAGGTTTTCTCTTATTTCAGTAAAAAAAATTTAATTAAATAATTTGATTATTAAATTAAGCGTAAAAAGTTTTCAACCAATTATTATTGTTTACCACATTATTTATACATTAATGAGGTTGCTAACTCTATTCAGACCATTTTTTTGTCAACACTGACTTAGCGCACTCTGCTGATGCATTTGAAAACTAATTCACGTTCCAATTAAGCTTCAGCATTATGCGGCATTGTGCGGCACTGAGTCGAAAAATGCTCTGTAATTGGAAAACGCACATTATGTCCTTCTAAACATAAGAAACAGATAACATATTACCGGTACGACTACAAGTAGCGGCACGAAACTCTAGCGCTGGCCGCTGACCGTTATTGCGCAGAAGTAAAAAATAAGGTACCTGAGAGGGGCTAGCGGAATGAAGAGTTTCGATTGGCTCTCCAGTCGTATTTCCGGGAGATTCTGTGGTGGCAACATTTGTGCAATTTGAAATATGCTAGAATGAAGGCAATGGAATAGAAGCAATTCTTAGTCAATTGAAATATTGCTTTAATTTAAAATCCGCAATAAAAATTAACAGTGCAAGTATAAATGCCATAAATTAACTCAACGTTCCGCAACCAACAAAACCCTAAACTCGAGTTAAAATGTGCGATCCCGACTTCATTCAGTAGTACTACATCAAAGCCAATTTTTGGCCATGAAATTCTCGTAATTCTTTAGGTAATAACTATAGGTGTCGGCAGGATTCTACTTTGTGTAGGTTCTTGCGACACGTCACACGAGTCAAAGGACACGAGCGGGCGAGGCGAAAGCATCAACTACACTCTCGTCGTGCTTGTGCACGTTAACTACTGCACTGTAAGGACGCGCGCGTTTTCATGATTGAGTGAAGTAACGATGTATGGTTTAATAGAATTTTGTCCATTACTAAAAATATAATTAAATATAGAAGTTAAAAACATTAATGCTGACTTTTAGAGGACAACTGAGAAAGAAAACGCTTAAATTAAATTATACTTATACCGGCATGATATTATGTTTTATTTATATTTGAGATATAAACGCAAGGCATTATAATATAGGTAAGCACATTAAGTAGCTAACACAGTCATTCCAATGATGTACGTGATCTAAATGGGGTATTTACACGGGTCGATTTTCGGCGTGCGGCGAGTCGCTTCACAAATTGCCTCACCAAGCCGCATCGCTAGCCCATTTACACAGGTTACTAAAATCGCATGCGGCTCGGTCATTTCCATCCAAAATGTTGAGCAGAATAGCCGATTGTGCCGGAATTGAAATAATTAATTATTCAATTATTCAACAATTGCTTAAAGAACAAAGAGAGAAGAAAAAACAAAAGGAAAGAAGAAAACGTAATGTTTGGGTACGAGGATGGATTTCTCGACGTAAGGTCTTGGGTGCTTCGGATACTTTATTGGTTGAGTGGAGTTTAGAAGATCCTGATTAAATTGTAATACACGTGCGTGCGCGAAACACCTTCAGTCGGATGCTACCCAACTTTGGGGCTTGCGGCTTTAGTCACTTGCGACTTAGCCGAATTGCCATTTAGATGGTCGATTTACGCCGCGCGGCAAAAATCGTGCGGCTTTAGTCACCGGTGTAAACCCCCTATATGGTAGATGTAGTGAGCAACTAAGTAAAGCAAGAGTGTTGGCTCGCACGTTCTCGCAAGTCTCAACTCGCCCATATTTGTGATGAGGACCTCGACGAGGCGCCCCGTGAGAGTCTGGAGCCGGCTTTAGGCCTTTTACATTTCCATACCATTTATACAGGTTAGCAATGCTTGAACTACTGGGACACAATGCAATCACACCCGGACATAGGGACGACTACGGGGGCGCCACAATAACGACTTTAATAATAAACTAATCTGTACTTGGTTTCACTATAAATTATTTATTAGAAAACTCCACTAAAATTTACCATTTAATTTCTTGGAAAATAATTTGGGGCCAGGCCACTCATTTGTCAACCCCCAAGAACAGTCTTGAATGCAATACAAAGCCAATGGGGATTTTACAACTTTTATTAACAAAAATATTTTAACCGTTACACAATATATTAATCTACTATAGTCGACACATTATAAATTCTTCATCCTTTTCACTGTATTTCATAATATATATATATGTATTGCGGCATCACTTATATAATTATTTTAGTAAGCTTATCTATAAATTTGTGTGTGGTGTGTGATATACTTAAATAAAAGATCGAAAGATTACAAAAAGGCAAAGCGAAGAACGTGTATAGACTGTAGAGGTTAATATTACGTTCCATAGAGTCAGTCTGCACAGTGCACTCTGCAGTCAGTCTTGACTCTTGATTCTACATTTTGAATGTATGAAATTTGTCTGATTAAAAATTAAAAATAATATTTCCTTAAAAAATTTAATTCACTCGTTTGCAAGAGTACTTCTAAATATTTAATTAATAATATTCTTTGTTACACAATGTCGGAGAAACACTTAAAGAAAGGTAACATTGTTTTACAATATAATTTAACTTTAAGTTAAATAATGTTATGAATATGCGGATAAAATATTCCTCTGTTTTTCCTTTACGGAAAACTTTCGTACTTATACACTAAATTTAATATTTTATACTTAATAAATTACTATATACATACTTTTTGCTTACACAGGAGATGCCTTGCCACCGTACAATGGCAAATTACGGTTATTTGCTATGAGATTTTGTCCCTACGCAGAACGAAGTATCTTGGTTTTAAATGCCAAAAAGTTACAGTATGATTTAGTTCATATTGATCTGGATAACAAACCAGAGTGGATTTTCAGCTTTAATCCTAAAGGTAAGAATAGAATTTAGTAGTGTAAGCTACTAATATGCATTAATATTGATTTACTACTGTAAATCTTTTATAACCTCATTTATTTTATATTTTGGAAATAAACATAATCTGTTTTATTATTCTAATGGTAAAATATTTTTTACAATCAGTAGTTTTAGAGTTTAAAAATACAACTTTCATCTTTATAAAACTAGTATAGATTTATATTCTCTCTAAATTAGTAGTTATTATAAATGTAAACACTACATTTAAGTTTATGAACAACACAAGTATTTAGATTTTGAGACACAATGTATTTTTGGATTTAGGTACAGTGCCAATTTTGGAATATGAAGAAGGAAAAGCTATATTTGACAGCAGCATTATTAATGCCTATCTCGATGAGAAATATCCTGATCCACCCCTACAATCTTCAGACCCGCTGCAACGGGCACAGGACAAGATAGTTGTGGAGCTTCTATCTAGTGTAAGTATGTTTGTTTGTGTTTACAAGATAGGGTCACTAATAAAATTGGTGTTCTCATACACATACACATACACAGCTCTTAACATCTTTGTCCTAAAGAAACAATTATTAACAAATCATTCTCGGATTATTATCATTCTAGAAAATTGTCAGTATGACTTGCGTAATCAATTATTTTAGGTAGTCCTTTGGTATTTAATCAATGACAGATAATATATAATATGAATTAACAAGTCATATTTCCCAATTTCTACCACATGGATATCAAATAATTTTGTTATCAATTTTATGTTTATTGAATGAAATGATAACAAATCTTATTTGACTATACTTCTATTGGTAAACATCTTCTCTGATAAAAAGTTAATTTCATACAGAGGATTTTAAACAAGTATTTTCTCTAAGAACATTTTATTAAAGATTTTGAAATTCAAGAATTTTTTTTTTCAATGCCTTAAAGAATAAATTTAGCTATACTCCGAGAACAGCTGATTTTTATACCATTAATCCTTTGTTTTAAATAGCAGAATAACTATTAAAATATTCAAACAAATGACAACAGTTTGCCATTTGCTTTAACATTTTCCCATGGCAGGAATTACTTTATAGATGTTGGCTAAAGATATTTTTTTTTAAATTCTGTGTATAGACATAAAAATATAATTAAATGTATATCAGCAAATTAGCTTACTATGTTAATTAATCTCATAATATCATAAGTAAGTGAGTGAATGAGACAGAACTGTGTGATTGATATTCATTATATACAAAATAGAAGAGAGTCTAACTTCTACAAGCAAATTGTTGCAGATAAAACAGTGCACCGCTAGTTTAATATTAATAATTATATGTATAAAAAAAATTTCAGGCTCACTCAGCATATTATACTGCAGCATTTAACGCCCAAGCTTTAACTTCAGAGTCTTTAGAGACATTCCACCGTGGTCTAGAAGTTCTGCAAAAGGAAGTAGAAGCTAGAGGCACTACATTCCTAGGTGGTGATAAACCTGGCTTGGTGGATTATACTGTTTGGCCATTTTTGGAGCGCTTTTTGTCACTTCCTCATTTGGGCAAACCCGAATTTGCTATTAGTGAGGATAAATATGGTGCATTAGTAAGTATAATGTTTGAGTTAACTAGAAAGATTTGTGTTACTACAATAACTACATACTGGAATAGATTTGTGGTGTGACGACAATGTGACTTGAAATACGAATAAGAATATGGACCCTAATGCTTTACGTAACTGAGGTTTGAGACAAATTCACTTTGCGACAGTCGTGATTCACTAACGCCTTAAAAACAAAGCGTGAACTTATGTCATTTTCATACAAACTTCTTTGGCGGTAGTGTGTCAAGCCTATTGTAAAGTGATTTTGTCTCAAACTCCTATCGTATTTAATTTGATAAAGATTGTGTAAATAGCTTTTAAATATCAAGATTATATGATTTTCATATTTCAAATAAAGCCTTGTCATGATGATATTAGAATTGTTTATAAGCGCCATATCTTCTATATTCTCTTATTAATTATTAAAACAACTAATTTAATGTAATTAAAATTATAAAAATCTTGTTTTTTACCTGCAGTTTCACCAGCGTTCATACGTAGGTTTACGTTATGCTATGATATATAGTTTACGGCACATGAGACCTACCATTTATATTTAAAACTATAAAAATCGGTCGAGCCAGATCGGTGTGTCCTCAAACACGTGACACAAGATTTCAATATACATAGTGTTCATGAAATTAGTAGGGTGAAAAGGTGGAAAAGTGTAAGAATTACACTTTTCCACCTTTTCACAAAGTGTAAGAATTAGAAGTGTAACCAACACTACAACTATTTTCTATCCGTCATCCATAGGTGAGAAGTATAAATCTAATAAAAGCATTTTTTTAGTTGAAATATATGGAGTCAATGAAGAATGACCCTCCAATCAAGGCCTACACTTTGGCTCCAGAAACCCACGCCAAGTACACCGAATCTCGCGTAAAGGGTACACCAGATACCAACATGCTGGACACTAGTGATGTCTGCTGCTTCCGTCCACGTAAGAAGAAGGAATGAAATGCTTCTAGAAATTCATATTTATTCCTAAAGTTGTAAACATTATAATCTCGTGCAATAAAGTACAATTTCTAAACATTTTGTTTTAATATGTTAAGCACTTCCTCCAACAAAAACAACTTTTTTTTTTTTTTTTTAAAGGCACACTAGCGAAACATTTACAGAGAACACACGACAAACAAAAACAATATACAACAACAAAATACATGCAAGTGCAACAATGTGTTGTGTGTGTGATGTGTTTCTCTATAAGAGGAAATTCACTTGACTTAAAACATTTGGTAAAGCAACCAAATTATTTAAAACTTTGTGAACAAAGATAATGTCAATTTTTGTTCATGAATCTGTAAGAATAGCTTTTTTTATATATTATGGCAATAGTAAGATTAGTTTTTAAGTTTTTAGTTTGTTATTAATATTTTTTTTATATAAGATTTGGTTCTGTACTTCTCGCATTCATCAGGTTTCTTTTTTTAGGTTTTCTCTTACTAGGGTTGCCTGGAAGAGATCGCTTATTAGCGATAAGGCCGCCCGTTGCATCCCTTATAATTTTTATGTATTGTGGTATATTTTGTGTTTTTATTTTTATTGCAACGAAGTGTGAATAAATAAATAGATTTTAAGTGATACCGCCGCCCTTGGACACTCATTTTGCCAGAAGCTCGTTTAGGAATTAAAAATATTTATTTATTTATTAACACTTCGTTGCATTTACATTAATATAGTACAATTGACATAAATTAAATAAAAAGGAGAGCATTATATGCTTTTTCTAACTTTATTTAATTTAAAAAGTAAAAAATCTTCTTCACTCTTATTGTTTTGCAAGAATTCACTTCACGCGTATTAATTCACACGGTTATATGTAGGTATATAGACTATGTCAGACAAATAAATTTCATTTAATTAACTGAAATCGAAATTAGAACGTAAATTTACTTAGATGCCCCTTTTTTTTACAAAGAAGTGTCATCTCTGTTATGAGCTATTTAAAAATCCAGAATTCGATTCGAAGACAGAGTAATTATTACTAATCAATTCGAACGGATATTAATTTTATAGTGGCCTTGGTATTTAATAAAACTTAACTAAATTGAAATGAACTAATTGTAGAAGTCCATACTTACAAACAAAACATCCGATTGGAACTTAGATACTTTTTGAAGACTCAATTGCTTTGGTAATTCGTTCTTGAGTAGGTATGTTCGAACGTAACTATTGAAGAATTAAGTCTTTGAAAAAGTCCACTGCGGCTAGTTATAAGGAAGATTATAATTTATATGTAGATATTTGAGAAGGATTGTAAGATCACGCAATAATTATGCATTGACGATGTATGACCACCATTTCATTTCACATCTAAATTATCGCTTTATGTGAATTAGCCTGGCATGCAGAGTAATAAACACAGACTTACTGTATAAACAATTAAATTAACAATTTACTTGACTAAATTTGCTAACGCGGTAATAAACTGGTAAGTATAGAAGTTGCAGTAGAAGATTAATTCTCGCATATTTAAATAAACATTAATGATTTTTATTTATTATTTTAAAGTTTTAAATCTAATAAACAATCATGGGACATATATTAATAAAATATTTATTCATGTGTAAACTTATGATCGTCAAAAGAATCTCGTAACTCAATTTACTGCCAGTTCTCAAATCAAGGGCGTAAAGGGACAAGTTCTGGCAAGAAACCCTCCACCGCTCGTTAAAATCGCCAAGTGTTTTGTTGTACAAAATAATTTAAAAAGCTGCAAACACCTTTCTACACACATGTTATACAGCGTAAAAAATTGTTTAGTTTCTCACAGTAGACGGCATGACGTGAGAACAACACGCAAAGATATAAGTACGAGTAAATTGCTGTTGAAATTAATAATAATTCTAAATCGACCAGTCACCACAAGTAGCACTCATTCACGAGTACGATGCGTGGTCAGCGTTGGCTAGCCAGTTGTCGATTTTGTCGTTAAGATATTGGTGTTAAGATACGGATATCATATCTTAACACCAAAATCGATGTGCAAACGTCGTTGTTTTGTTAATTGAATGAAATATCTATCCAGGGTTCGAAGGTTCGTGATGTTCTTTAACGATTTAGGGATGGTTTGTTGGTAATGTAGTATTGAGGTAATAATATGTATTTAAACAATAAATAAATTTAAAAAAGACAGGAGCTCAGAGCTAGGACTCGCTTAACCCTTCGAAAAACACTTCATTTGATTGTATCTTAACCTATATTTATTTCTTTCGAATACAAAACGCTTACATTTTTATTTATTTATTTTATGATAAATTTTTGTTTTGTGTATTTATTATTACGACGAGAAATTCGCTAGTTATATAAGATGTAATTGATCACGTCGCTAATAAACGTTTTTACATAAATAACGAACAATATAAGTACTAGTTATCTAAGCGCTTACTTTTTGTATATAATCAAATCTGAAAAGTCCAATAATATTACTTTTATCTTTATATCATATTTGATAATATCATACCAGATATACCAAATGCGTAAAAGTAGGGATTAAGCTTATTTCGTATATAGTACAAAGATATTACAATTAAAATAGTTATTAAGAAACATTGAATCACAAACAACGCCTTGCCTGATATTATTACCGAATTCTTCACCATCTATAATACTTATATTTTATATTAATAAAACCAATTATCTTTTTAAGTGTTTTAATCAAAGCTTGTTTTCTTTTTTAAAAATATGGAATACGATGGAAGACATTTGCAAAAAGGTAACGCTTTTTTATAGATTTTTTTTGTTTTTTTTTTAATCAAGTCTGCATGCATCCCATTTGATGGAGGCATTATGTACCTGTTACAATGCCTGGCATATAAAGCAATATACCATTACGTGACCACATAGATATATAACTATGAATTTATATATATATAAATAACTAACTAATAACTAATAAAACCAAAGGACCGAATTTTTAATCAAAGTATTTAAATAAGTTTTATGATATATAAACTAAAAATGGATGTTTAATGATGTATTTGTATAAACGACCCAGAACTATATATAATATCGTTGTGAATATTTCTTTTTTGCAGGCGATCCCCTACCACCATTTAGTGGAAAACCACGGCTTTTTTCCATGAGGTTCTGTCCTTATGCCGAACGATGTGTTCTAATGTTAAACGCAAAGAAAGTGGAATATGATTTAGTTTTTATAGATCTGAGCAACAAACCGGAATGGATTTTTACGTTCAACCCTAAAGGTACAATATATTTTAGGGCTTCTTATAATTTAAAGATTAAGTAATAAGTAGGTATTCAATTTCCATACTGAGTTGTTCGGCAGCGAAGGGTAGGTAATCTCTGCAGTAAACTGCCATATTTACGTAATGTTTCAAAAATTAATTTTGTCGTCAATAAATAAATAGATATTTTTAAAAACAACAGAAAAAATGGAACAAATAAAATTTATATGAAGACTTTTATTAATTGTTCTTGAATTTTAAAGATTCATAATTGAATCTTGTAATTTTCATATTGTTAGTATATACTTAGTTACAATAGTGTATGCTTTCCTTTGTGTTTGTAGAGCGTACCAATTCTTAAAAGGCCGGCAGCGTGCTTGCGAGCCTTCTGGCAATGCGAGTGTCCATGGGCGGTATCACTTATCATCAGGTGAGCCTCCTGCCCGTTTGCCTCCTGTAACATAAAAAAACCACATGGAACATTAAAAAACCACCATGATTGTATTCCGCTTTTCGTTATCATCTTAAATATTTGTTTATAGGCTCTGTACCAATTCTGGAGTATGAAGAAGGCAAAGCCATATTTGAAAGTTCTATAATTACATCCTACATAGACGAGACGTATCCATATCCAGCCCTTCAGGCCGTAGGGTCCCTCAAAAGAGCACAAGATAAGGTTGTTGTAGAGCTGTTGTCTACCGTAAGTATATTTTTACTTTACTTATTAATACATTGTTTATTTAAAATTTTATAGGTATCTAATCGATTTCCGGTCAGCGCGGGATTTACAGTTAAATGTGTAATTAGTTCTCATGTCTGCCGACAAATATAATATAATATAATATAATATAATATAATATAATATAATATAATATAATATAATATAATATAATATAATATAATATAATATAATATAATATAATATAATATAATATAATATAATATAATATAATATAATATAATATAATATAATATAATATAATATAATATAATATAATATAATAGAAAACAACTATATTACATGTCTTACCGGTGCCGCAATTATTTTCTGTGTAAACCTACTTTTATAACTATATAAAAATACTAATCAGGGATTGTATATAAGGGTTTATTCAAAAAGCGAATAATTAATTAATATTCTGTTTTTATCGTAAAGCCGTAGTGGAGATATTTATGACCACAATAAAACATGTTGAATTAGCTCTATCAAAGGTACATTATCCTTGTTTGCATTTTTCATAATAAACATTAATGTGTTATCACGTTGCGTGACGTGCATATGTGAAAAAAAATATTTTGTTCTGTTTGGCGATTTGTAAACTGATATTTGATTTCTTTCTATTCTGTTCTCTTTTTCTATTGCCTCTATAACTGTTTTGGTCAGTAATTCGTATAATATATAGAAATAGGTACTCTCAGCTCATAGCATAGGTAGGTATTTTGGCGCGCTCTTGCGCGAGTCCATGATAGATCTCTAGATAGGCAAAGTTAAAACAAGCTTTATTCAAATAAACTTTGCCAATTTATGTTCTAAATTTAAATGTTATGTGTGACGTCAATGGAACCAACCCCAACCCCATTCCTGGACACGTATTTCCGCGCAACCTTTATGTGTATGTCCGACTAATATTCTTTAAATTTTGAGTCACATGTATTTATCAAAAATGACACTCTCTTGAAAATTCTATCGAATGTTTAAGAGAGTGTCCTTCCTAAACCCTGAGAGTGGCCGAGACTTCCTTTCCAGTTTTCCCGTCCATCCTTTGACAATTATATAAGTGTCAATTACACTAAATGTCATTTTTTTACGTTTAAAATGCACAATAATTTACCTACCTAGTTGAATATAGGTAGTAACTATAAAAATTTTTAGTACGATTCAAAAACGAGGCGAGTCGCTAAGTCCGAGTCCCGTACGACAAAAATGTTATGGAATTTAATATACGGGGGAATATATATAATAATCATACACTTTAGGTACAAATGTTCAATAAAAATTTAAATTCAAAAAATTTTATTCAGTAAAAAGTTACATTTTTAGCATATGTTGGAGCCCCTGAACTAAGTCTAGGGAGACCTGTACATCAGGGTACTCCGCTCTTACAGGTAGAAATGTAACCACAGAGTCGGTCATTACTAATGTCATTCAAATACGATTTTTTTTATTTTAAGGCTCAAGCTGCATATTACATAGCAGCATTCAATGCGCAGGCAATTAAGCCAGAAACAGTGCTAAGCTATCATCGAAGTCTAGAAATACTGCAGAAAGATATTGCAGGCAGAGGAACCACATATTTGGCTGGAGATAAACCTGGGTACATTGATTATATCGTCTGGCCATTCTTGGAGCGTTATATAGCTCTTCATCTAGTGGGAAGACATGAATTTGCTATTACAGAAGATAAATATGATATATTAGTAAGTTTTTTTTCTGAATATATATTGTCTGTTTTGTTGCAAAGTTTTTACGTAATACACATAATATAGAATTGACATGGTTGTTTCTGTCCAATAATTCAAGCTATTAAAATAATTAAATAAATTAAAAAAAATAGGCACAGAAGGTTATTGACCTACTTGTCTCGTTAGAAATACAAATCGACACAATATGTTGCCTTCATGCTCTAGCATTTATTATATTTTAGTCACAATACAGCCATAAATATATATTACAGATTAAAAATAATCTATTAAGCTGCTTTTTTCAAGTCATAGTGAATTTGATAAACAGATACAAGTTAGCATTACATAAACCTTATATTATCATATATTATAAAATTCCAACTCTTCGCATTTATATTATTCCATGATATTTCAGAAATAATAGATAAGATACGTAATTATACCTTATTGTAAGCGATAGATGAGTATGTCTTATCGTATATATAAAATTCTCGTGTCACAATGTTAGTTACCATAACAGTAAATAGTCCTCCGAAACGGCTCGACCGATTTTTATCGAATTTTATATGCATATTCAGTAGGTCTGAGAACTATCTATCTTTAAACGCCCTAAGTGATAAGGGGTGTCCACCACAAAAAAAATTTATTCCTTAGGATGTTTTTATTTTTTTATGATACAACATACAAAAATAGATACAACCCCTAATTTTCACCCCTCTACGATCAACTCTTATTTTTTATTATTGTAGATACTCGTAGTTATTTTTATTGAACAAAAATAATATTTCCTAGAAATAATATACATGGCAAAACAAATGTTGTAATGTGTAAATGTAATGTAAATGTAATGCCGGGTCAGCTAGTATTTATATACTTACACCCAATTCATGTAAAGTAAGTTTTAGACTAACTTACTTTACCACTATTATAACTTAAATGCAGTTTAATATATATTTGTACTTGTAATTAAACTTATTTAATTGTATATCACTAATTGATTATTGTTCGATTAAACCACTTCACCTTGTATACTTATTGCGATATAAATAGTGTATCGATGACAAAAGCATATGTATTGTGTTTAAAATTATTTTCGTTATATTATTTTACAGATAAAATATATGCATGCTATGAAGAAAGACCCTGCGATTCAGTCCTACAGTTTAGAGCCCGAAAACCATGCCAAGTATATCGAATCTCGTGTCAAAGGAAAGCCAGACTACAGCATCGACTCAACAAATTCATTTGATAGGAAAAATAATAAAATTATAAAGCCCAAAAAGGTTGATTCATATCAAGAATCTATCGAAATGCATACTAAAAAACCATCAATGTAGGCCGTTTTGGAATGTATATGGTACTGGCAACTTGAAGTACTTGGCTTGAGACTTCTTCTACTTAGAAATACGCGATAACAACTTTTATGTAAGAACCGTGGTTTTTTTTTGTGCTTTAGCCTTTAATTGCGATTACTCCTACGTTATTATTTTGATGTGCAGTAAATTTTAGCTAAATATACCTAGTCCAGCCATAAGTTCTGTCACAAATGAAAATGCAAATGAAGTAATGTAATATTATAGGGTCTCAGCAAAAATAAAACAATATTCTATTCGAAATGGCCACCTTTGGCTTTTATACAGGCCTTTTATCTGTTTGGCTACGAATCTATGGATTTACGCACTAAACCAAGGGAAATTTCGGCACTGTTTGGAGCAAGTCCAAAGATTTTTAAGGAGACTTAATGTCGCCGTGTTGTTTAGAGCAGGCCATGTCCTCTAAAATTAACCATAATTGAAGTCTAGAGGGCTGAGGTCTGGGCTACATGAGGGCCAGTCTTCAGCTCTTATAAAGTCCGAAACGTTGGTTTTAAGCCAGGCTTGGATAGTTCGTGCGTTGTGACTAGGTGCAGGAAAATCCTGCTGGAAAGACCAAGGTATATTTTTTGTAAGTGTATTGCTGAGAGGTTTAACAACATGATCCAAGACTGTATCTTGATAGGTACACTTTGGCTGAAATTTTCACTCCTTTTTCACAAAAATGTAGTTTTGTAACTCCTTGATAAGACACGCCTCATCAAACCATCACTGACGCATGATGACCACGTTGTATCTTTCCGACCATTTGAGTAGCTTCTTTAGAAGCTTCTTTCTTTTTCTTTATAATTTTGCTTATTGTAGTGTTCTTCAATCGTGAAATTTTTTTTATCGGCAATGAGGATATTTATGTGCCTTTCATCTGCGTATCGCATCAGAAGGCGTTTTGATCGATCCACTCTCTTAAATTGTAAAGATTGATTTAGGGCATGGCCTATATATTGACGTTTCGTTTTATAATACGCGACGGAGTCCTAGCGGGAATCCTCATTTCTCGCAATAAGATTTTTTCTTCCTAATGGGGTTTTAACGAATTCTGGCTTTAACAGTATTAACAGCCTTTGTAGTTCTAACAGCCCGCGGCCGCCCCAATCTTTTCTGGTCTTCGACAGACGAAGTCTTGTTGTATCTGTTGATAGTACGATATACGAACATACGGCTGATACCAAGCTTTTGAACTGTCTGGAATATGACCGACGGCTCTATTCCCACTTTGTGCAAGGTGATCAACTTCAATCCTATTTTCTTTAACACCCAATTCCATATTGTAATTTGATAAGTAACACGAAAAAATATGTGAAAAGTCGTAAAATCGAAAGATGTTTTTAAAATAATATAGGTACGTTCGCTAAATTCAAAATAATTAAAAAGTTAAAAAAATTCATTTTCATTTGTAACAGAACTTATGGCCAGACTAGTTATAATTTAATAAACAGTAATATAAAAGAGATAATACTTTATCCTATCCTTTTAAATAGCTTAACTCACATAATTTGTGTTTTCATTGGGTGTTGGCCATAGAATACTCGTAGAATATGGATGGGATTAGTTAAAAAAATATTACTAAAGTACCGTGTTGGGTTAAACATATGCTTTAATAATATTATTATGTCTATTTTATAATAATAAGTACCGTCTATATTGTTTTATTACATATTTACTTTTTTATGAGTATAGGTATTAATAAAAGTAATTTAAATAGTATTGGAAATTTTCGCTTTACGTGTATGATTGTATTCTGGCATAGGACTTTGTGATTTGTCTAACTTATAGTCTTTGGTTCAACGTCAAATCTCAAAAGTCAAAACTATCTGTCAACGACTACAGGACAAAAGTTAACTGTCTCTACAATCCGCTATCAAAAGTCAAAATACAAGTAAATGGAAATAAATATATTAAATGTTTTTTATTGAAATAAAAATATTAAATTGTGATGTGTTTATGCAACGATATAATCCTATGAAGCCTGTTCAATTTTAAATTAAAAAATCAACTGTTTTGGTAAAGTTCATGTGTTAGATGGTGAGAAAACAGCAGTGGTATAACTTTCGTCTTATAAAGCAAACCAAACCAATGTTTTGACTCATCAATTATTATAATTTGAAGTTTTTAATGAACAAAATAAAGCTGATAACTAATCACAATGAATCCGTATAAGGATTTGGAAGATAATTCATTTTCTGCGGCTCCTAATCTTGCTTACGAGGATATCGCAACTAAATTGTTAAAAGATCACTTCTTTTTGACGGCGTTAGAACTTCACACGGAGTTGGTTGAAAGTGGGAAAGAACTTCCGCAGTTACGAGAATTTTTTTCGAACCCCGGAAATTTTGAACAACATGTTTCAAGAGCATCAGAAATGAATTCCATGTGTATGTATATTTTAGCAAATACTTGAGACTTGAATGTTTTCATAAAAAATAACTTACAGTAAAAGTACTCTATGTTGCTCTTTCTCTTTAGTATCGTTTATAATTAAAACTACCAAACTTGGATCTTTTTCAAAACTTCTCTGCGTAACCACATATGTAAGTAGAAAATAAAGATGCTGTAATGGATTTTTTTACCTTAGATCGTACACCTAGCCTAGCAACACTAGATTCCCTGGATACAGCAAGATATTCAGAAGATGGAGGTGGTGATAGAGCAGGAAGTGGTGGTGATATAGCTGTTCTAGAGTTTGAGTTAAGAAAAGCAAAAGAAACCATCAATTCGCTAAGAGCAAACCTTACTCAGTTTGCTGGTTAGTATTCATGCTTAAATTTCAGCTTGATCGGTGCAGAACTTTTTGAGTTTTTGAAGAGTACACCAACCAACATAACATTCTTACATATTATGTGAATATTCTTGTCAGTTATGATTTTCTATTTTACATAATAACTAAATTTTAATGTTCTGTATTAAACATGTTTTGGTTGGTATTAATTATGGTTAAAACAAAGTCTATGTTCTAAATGTGAATTTTGTTGTTAATTAAATTTTGTCGTTGTCCATAGTAGTTTTTATATATAAGGTAAAATAGTTGTAGGTGTCTCAGAAATATTATAAGAATAGTTTGTAGAAGTTAAATATTTATCATAATTTTTAGATGGGGAGTCAACATTAGATAAAAGTGTAAAAGATAACTTTAATCAAAAATCACTTAAGCCACATGAAAAAAGAGCTCTTAACTTTTTGATAAATGAGTACTTGTTACTTCAAGACTACAAATTGACGAGTATAACATTTTCAGATGAAAATCCTGATCAGGTAAATTAAGATATAATTCTAGTGACAACACTAGGGTAGGGCCCTTCCTTAATAGTGAAGAAAAACGTTGTAAGGAAACTGTCATGAGTGTGTCAGACACAAAACAGACACATAAATTTGAAGCCGAGACCTAAGAGGTTGTGGAGCCACTGTTTTTTTTTTTCTCTAGGAATAATTTTTTAATGAACCATCTTCAAGGTATGAATAATTTGCCTATGGCTTTATCTGGCATTAACAATAGTTGTTATTTATAATCATATATTAAGGTATTAGAAAAAATATCTTGACTTTTATTGCCTATCTTTTGCATTTTTGCTTTTGCTTTTAGGAATTTGAAGATTGGGATGATGTTGGCTTAAACATGCCCAGGCCACCTGGTTTAATACCTTTATTTAGGGGCAGCAATACTATATTGAATCCACCTAAATGCGATGCTGCCACACAGTATGACAGTGATTATTTTTCTGATGCCGAGTGTCAGACAGAAGGCGATGAAAATATTTGTGTCAGTTGTCAGACCTCTTTTGAACACGAAACTGATTTGAATCATGAGGTAACTTTCATCTTATTTCAATCTGAATATTGTTTTATTAATACTGAATAATAATAATTAGTATTATGAATATTCAATGTAAGAATAAATTAAATTTTCAGATATGTTACAGCTCTAAATATTTTGTTAAAAAAATCTGTTTGTATTTATTATAAGATAAAATTACGTACACTACGTCCACATTCTGAACTGAATATAAAAGGCTGCGTGAAAATGTTACTATTCTTAAATTATACTTTATTTTTTAATATTATATATTATGTCTCTGACATCAGAATAACAGCAAAATACATTCGTTTTGATGTCCTCGAAAATGTTTCATAATAAGATACGTACACACGTTATTACCGACACGAGACGCAGCCAGTTTATTTAAAATATTATCATTTATTTCTTTTTGGCTTGATATAATAAAATTTACATCGGAAAAAGTGATTTACAGTCAATTATGACGCAGTTTCGCCACATTTTACATTGCTGCGGATTTAATTAAAAATGGCTTTAGGGTAAAACTATGTTTTTATAATAGATTAAATTATGTGAAAGTTAATGCCTCAAAGAAGATCTCTATTAATTAACGTGTAAAAGATAGCTAAATAATATTACAATTCGTATGTTTGAATGTGACTTTTTATATTAATTAGAGACTTTGTTTTTTAGTTACTCATACAAGCTGAAGAAATAAATCTATTGAAACAAAAAATAATCGCATTAGAAACTGAAAAATTAAATTTCCAAAAATTATATGACGCTGCTGTTGTGAGTCTGAATTCGTTAACAAGTCCAATATCGGAGAAACAAAGTATAGAACTTCAAATTCCAAGTGAAAAGCTAAATTTGATAAGAGATCCTGAAGATCAGAGACCCATTACTTGTATGGCATCTGAGAACCATTATGGCAGCAGCAATTCGACGCATAGCGCAACGCCCGATCAGTTTGAAATGATTGAAAACGAAAAACATTGTTCATCGTAAGTTATTAAAAATATCTCTATTTGTTATCCTCTTAAACGTTTTAGATTTTTACAATTGTGTCACATTGTACATTTTATTGTCGTTTTTAGTATTTTTCTTTACTTATTATTTATATTTTTCTGTTTAAACCTTCTCTGGACTTCCACAAATAATTCAAGACCAAAATTAGCCAAATCGGTCCAGCCGTTTTCGAGTTTTAGCGAGACTAACGAACAGCAATTCATATATATATACATACATACATATATATATTTATACGCCAGAAATACGCGAAAGTTGACTTTATGTAATGTAAGGTTTTTTTTAGTTTATACATTGTGTGAAAAAGTATTTTCGTGTCGCTTAAATAATTTTATGAATAATCCAACATTAAAAATTCAGCTAGATGCCTTTATTTCACTTGTTATATTTATTGCAGACAGTCACTTAATTAACCTTCTGTGGCTTAAAATCTATAAGTATGAAAGGATGCTTCTGATATAAAATATTTTTTTATAGAATTAAGAAAGAAGGTTCTAATACAAGTTCTTTCGAGCCAGCATTGGTCGATAATAGCGGGAGACCCACCCCAACCCGTAGGGGTAGCGTGAACACATTGGATGATACACTCAGTATGAATGATGCAGAGTGGACGCGGCTGCATTATGAATATAATGTCCTGGATAGCTCAAAGGAAATGTGGATTGACAGGTGAGAGCGTTGCTAGGCAACGGTAACAAGCTGTTGCTAGGCAATTACATGTCGACATTTGATTACTTTTGCACTCTGTGGAAAATAATGATGAACAATGATGCGTTCTTCACAAAATTTACGACTCGCAGTATTTGCGAATGGAAATCTCATATAATTCGAAGTCAGAGAAATTAATTGAAACCGAAGCACAATTTCTACATTTTATCATAGAGACAAAAAAAATCAAACCTATTCTGTATACCAATTTAATATTCAATTTAATTTTGTCAGCTTATAATATCTTACGTTCACAGCGCGATACCAAATAGCTTAAAAGAGTCGTTATTAAACTGGTGCAATGAATCGCTTGAAGTCAATGAACCACTCTCGAACGATCTTCTGACAGATTTAGTGAACAATGAGAAACCTATGGTGTTGCCAGCGCTGTTGCAACTTGTTGCTGATACATTACCAAGGGTAATTTTTTTATTAATATTGTGGCATTAACGCCTCTGTGGATTTGTTGTCATCCTATGGGAGCTTAGAGCTTCTGGAGTCTATTCTTATCGAAAAAAGTAATTGTTTAAATGATGTTAATCACTTTTTAGTCTTGAGATATGTAAACTTAAATTCATTTTAGAATACCAGAACCACACCTTTGTTATGATATTATAAATTAATCATACTATTGTATTTCACGTTTCATCATTTATCACTTTTCTAATTTGGACTGGTGTTGTGTTTGTAATCTAAACAAGTTTTTACCCCAGAAATTGAACCCAGGTGGCTTATATTAGAAGATTATTTCTTCTTCCGATTCTTCTTCTTTCTTTTCTCGCCACCTATCGAGAAAATAGGTGGCGCTGCAGTCGCTTAAGAAAAGTTTTACTAGAGCTTATACCATGACGACTTATGAATGCTTACGATTACTTTTAATTTTCGTGACCTTATTGCTGAAATATAAGACGATCTTTTAGATTCTGCCGCACATATTAATAGGCCGCCGGAGTGAATCCGCTGCATTATTATCTGCCGCGATAATTCTTCTGCCACCCGCGGATACGCGAAGGGCAAAATTGATACATACCCTTCTTACGCTATTTAAAAAACCCGACCCGCCGGACGCAAAGATTATATGTGAAGGTATGTATGCTTCTTACTGAATACTGCTGACTTTTGAAAGAAAAAATCACAAAGATAATTTGCCTACTGTAAGGTAAAAAAATTAAAAATAATATGCCTAGTCGAAATTGTATTATAAGTATTTTTTAAGAAATTTTTTTTTTATTATATTTTATTTTCCAATATTCGATCTCATAATGTTCCATTTTGTGTCTTCTAGACTGACATTTTACAATATTGTTTCATTGTAAAAGATTCTAAGTAGTATTATCTTTTATTGCCATAACTTTTACACATTTAAAGAAAACAATTTTTTTACCGGTCACCGTGACCAAGCACGCTGTAAAGCACGCGAAACGTCGGTTAAATTTAAAATTATGAAAAATAATTATAAATTTATAATAATACATAACTTCAATCCGGTAAAAAAGTGTTTTCTTTAAATGTGTAAAGGTTATGTCAATAAAAGACAATACTATAAAAATAATATGCCGAGTCGAAATTGTATTATAAGTATTTAAAAAAAAATATTTATATTGTTATTTTCCAAAATTAGATGATGAGATCATTTTCCATTTTGTGACTTCTAGACTTAGATTTTTTTCATTGTAAAAGATTTTAAATCATTAAATTTCAGCCACCTGTCTCATAGTGAAATGGGGAGGGAGCGGCGAAGTGCTATCCTCTATAGCTGAACTTTTAGCCTCTAGATCAACTGAACGTCGAGTTTTGGCAAGTCAAATATGCTTGGCCATTGCCCCATACGTCCCTATAGAACTCTGCACCTCTCTACTCCTGAGTTTAGTGGGACTTATGTGCGAATCTACTGAAATCGAAATACGATCTTTGGGCTTAAAAGCAGCGTGCTTGATTTGCCCTATAGCAGAACATAAGTATGGCCAGTTGGAGAATATTTTGTTCAGTTTTCTAAAGGATCCGGTGGATTTAATTGTTAAGGATACAGTGAGGGTGTATGTTCCGGTGCTGGCCCGGACTTCGCTTATAGCTGGTAATTTATTTTCATACTATTGATGCTTTGGAGTCATCAGATGTTTCGGATGGGACTGACTCTTTGCCTAAAGACTTTATAAATATTTGATTGAGAGGTGTTGTTCGTAAGTTCGAATCACAGTTGTGCAACGATGTAGGTACTTTTTTTGTGCGCATTTAATTTTCACTCGTACGAAGAAAAACATCGTGGGGAAACCTGTGTTCTTTGCCTATTAAGACAAAATCTCGCAACACATACAGATAACCGAGGCCAAGACTAAGTTGGTGCACCAAATTTTGCCTGCACCCAACAAGCGAGTTCTCGGCAAACATTAACAAAATTGCATTGATCCGAGATTCGAACGCACGACCTCTAAGATGCGAGACAGGCATGTTTCCACTTGCTTTTTAAAATGATCACGAAAAAGAGATAAATCTGAAGCTAAGACTAAGAGTTGTAGCGCCAATGGTTTTATTTTAATCTACTAGCTGGTGCCCGCGACTTCGCCTGCGCAGGATTAAAATAATATTTGTCCAAATGATGTAGCCTGAAAGACATATTTTATCGTTAAATACCAGAAGCGATAAAAGTATCTATTTTCATTAAGTAATTAATTGATTACTATCAAATTTGCATTAGAATTATATTGTCAATTTTTATTGTATTTATGGTTCACTAATTTCGTTATAATGGCTTACACATAAGTCAGAAATATATACTTTGGCGCGTTTTTGTAGTGACTGTAACTCTTGCAGTTTTGGCTGCGCATGCCAGAATAGCTCGCAGATGGTAAATTTTTCCTACTTACTTGATATTTTGGACAATTCGCACAATACATTCATAAATTGTAGCCTAAGTGTTATTCTGATGTATATTATGATAATATTATTGTAAAGTTTCATTAAAATACATTCAGTAGTTTTTACGTGAAAGAATAACAAACATCCATCCATACTTACAAACTTTCGCGTTTATAATATTAGTAGGATATTTAAGTGTTATGTGCCTGTATTAAGAACAGGCTTATGCAAGTTTATGAGTTGTAAGATTCAAGTTCTAGTCAATTAAGAATTTGTCCACTTGCCAAGAATGAATAACCATTACGTACTATTAAAGAACATTAATCCCCATTTTGTCGATATTTACTAAACAAAATATGTCTTTTAGGAAAATTCTCGTCGTCGCTGTATACCCGTATAATTTCGAATTTAGTAAAATCTACAAACGATGGTGAATGGAAAGATGCCCTTCTATACTTAAACATACTAAAATCCCTAGTGTTGGCGAAATTAGTATATGTTATTAACGTACAAATAGTTAAAGATATAATAAAAATGGACTGTGATAATTTGCAAGAAGTATTATTGTGCGAGGATAGCTTTATGGATGTACAGTGTTATGTGAGTGAGAGAGATGCAAAGTCATTGTTGGTGGCTGTGAATTCGCTCTTAAAAGAGAATTCCGATGTTAGATGGACCGAGTTGGAGTGGTTTATTAATGCGTAAGTATTTTTATTTTTTAACTGATGTCAAAATTATATAAACAAATTAAGTTGACACATACAAAAAACGTTCATTACTATATAGGCGAGGTAATTCTACGAAGTTTGAATCACCAACGAGGTTTTATATTTACTGGTGGCACGCAATGTCAGTCTACACTCTATGGCATTAAAATGCTTATCTGTGAACGCGCCCGCTTTGTGCTTTTGGCGCCATTTATACGTTTTAGTAATTTATTTTAGCTTTATTTATCAATGCCAGTTTATAGGATAATAAATCTTTAAAAATTTATTTTAATTTATCCGACACACCCGTCCTAATCTTCATTATAAAATAATTTTATAAATCACTATGTGTATTTATTATTATGTTATGTCTTGTCGGATGAACCAACAAAAGAGCTCTAATATTTCATCTTTCCTTTCAGAGTGAAGCAAATACTAGAAATTATGACATCAAACAAAATACGAAATCATTCGGCAGTTTATGAAGTTTTAATAAGTTTATTTAGTAGTTACGTGTACAATTTCGGCGTTCGCTTCACCAGTGAAATATTAAAGCCGATATTTTTTAGTACAATTAATGAATTGGAAAACAAATTAGAGAAATTACATACAGTTAATGTTGACAGCTGTGTTGTTGTTGGAATATATTTAGTTACAATTTTAACTACGACAGAGAGTTCGCAACAAGAGGAATTCTTGCAAAAGTGAGTATTGGTACAACATGGATTTTATGTTAAAAAGTTTTCATATAAACATTAGACAAGTAACAAATCCAGTACATGATAATTCGTACTAAAGTGTGAAAAAATGTATTTTGATAGTGTAGAAATAAAATAATTTATTTCTCGTAGCATTAAGATAATGTTATGTAGACAGATGAACTTGAATAGAATACTCGCGATAGCTGTCGCAGGAATAGCGAATCTAGTTTTACTTTATACACAATAATAAATTATACCGATTTCGGTATAGTTTAATTAAAAAAACCGTGACTAATATCGCAATCTTAAGATCCTGTGGTACACAAACTTTTTTATTAGCGCTGGCCTGAGATACGGGTCATATAAAAATTTAAGACACACAACATGTTATGTTCACGCCATTTGTATGGGGCCTGCGCTTGAGAGGAATAGCCAAACCTCGAAAAGGTTTAATTTTACCGTCTATGTATGTAATTGTTTATTCCACAGTGGAATAATGTATCGGAATAAAGTCGATTAAGCAATTTTCTTGCGCAAATGATAAATTAAAATTCTCCAGTCATTATGAAAACGACGTTCGAATAACTTCGTTATCGTGCGTCGTTCAAAGCGTGCACGTTGTCACGTACGAGCGTTCAGATGATATTAAAAAATAACTTTTATTTTTATGATAATCAACATTGATTACCTATTTAAGAACTTAAAAGTCATTAATGATATTGCTATATCTACAATTTGTGATTAAACTTTAATTATTTAGATCAAAGATTATAAAAGTAATGAGTCATGTATAGCCCTTAACATGAACCATTTTGTACCGACACAGAAAAAAATTATTATTATCTATATTTAATATTATCAACATTGTTTTTTATTGGCTGGAATTAAAAAAAAAACTTGGATTATCGATGAAGGCTTAAGGATCTGTACGACGCGCTTGGTCTAGATATTCATAGTTGCTCCCATCACACTTTGAAATCAATTTTCGTTTAGTTTTTTTTTTAAATCTCCGTGTTTGTTATTTTTGCCTATAAGTACTTGTTTCGTTAAATATTTTATTTTTCACGTACCAATGCATCTGTATGCCGAGGCAAGCTTTTATAATTAAAAAAATATACAGCGACAAAATTAACGTACCTACATACGTACAGGTTTATGGAAGTAAGAAAGATTTTCGGTGCCTGAAACGTACTAACGTTTACCAATAAAACAATGATAAAAATATTCTGCGGCGTCGGTGATTAATTATGATAACGTTATGACGTTGGATATTATAAATCGATAGTAAAATCACTCGAAGAATGTGAATGACAATCGAAATAACAATATTTAAATTAGTTATGAAGATAATTTGTAGATTTTGATAAATTCAAAGATTGATTACACAAATGAAATAATGAATAAATTATACGAAACCTTTATAGAAGTCACTCGTGTCATTTATTTATTACTAGAAGTTACTTTGTCAGTTATAGATGTAAAAAGAAGTCTGATTCAAATATTCAAAAATGTATTAGACAATGAGACCTATTTTTATTCAATAATCCACAGCATTTTAATACATTATACAAGTTATATGGAAGATAAATAGATAAACAAACTAGAACACTAAAATTAATATTGTTTTAAACTTACACTGACACAACTTATACTAAGAAATGTAATCAAAACAATTATTATTGTATGGATTAATTAAAAAATCTATAATAATAATAATATAGTAAAGCCAACAAAACTTTTCCGAACGCTTATAACGCCACGTTGGCTGGGGCAGCTTGAGCGCAAGGGCCAAGATCGAGCAGTGAAGGAAGCATACTTAAGCCTAGGGGTCAGAGACCAGTAAGCCGGGCCAGGTACCACTGGATTGAAGATTGGAGTGCAACTAAAAGCCAGCAATTGGAGGGAAGTGGCACAAGACAGGAAGCGGTAGAAGTTTCTGGTTTCGGAAGCCATGACACATTTTGGGTCACAGAAACATCGGAGTGGAGTAAAACCAAAATGCAAAAAAAACACGATACTTATAAATTCTAAAATTACATTTTTTTAAAGTGATAAATGAAAGGGTCGTAATACCGTGAGATATAATATTGCCTAAATTTTGTCTAATACATTTCATTTAAATAATCAGTAAATAACAGTATTAATGCAAAAGTTATAGCACTGAAGTTGCACTGGCAAAATTACGTTGCATACGGCGATAGATCAAATGACGTCACTTGATACTTTGCGACCTAGACGATCCGGAGCGTTTCCCCCCAAGTACGTTTAAATGATGTGCGGCGCGGATAATGTGGTGCTGATATATTACACCCTATACATACTATTGTAAAGGCTAGTTCTTAGGGTAGCAAATTAGACACTCCAATGTAGACATAAACTGTATAACTTTAAAGTTGAACAAAGGAATGGCCCGTGCGCATTGTCACAATCTCTTATATAATCTATTCCCTACTCCGACTCGACCATCCCACTTCGGGGAGATGTTCGTAAACAACCAAACGAGTCAAATGAGTAACTATTACCCATGAGCACTTGTAGCAGAATTCTTAAGAATTTTTTTTCTATTTTAATTCCAGATGGGTCACCTACAGCAGCATACGAAGTCTTCCAGCAAAAGTTCTATCAATACCGCTAAAATGGCTGACCAAGCACCGACCAGAGGTTTTAGACTTTTATTTGCAGTGCCTTCAAAAATGTAAGACAACTAACCTCTTTATTGGCTTCATTAATGATGTCCCGTTACCAAACTGGCCATGGGACAGACTTATTTCAATGCCTGGTTCGTTGGTATTCTTAAGGCAAGTCCGTGCCTACCAACAACATATATTTTTGAAGTTATACTTCTTTTAACGCGTTAGGAAAAAATGATGAGAGTAAATTTTTACGTTGCGGGCGCACTCCGTCACAAAAAACCGACACCTTGAAGTTAGCTAAGCCAACTTTTAAAATAAAAAATGTCCATTTCTTTAATTATGTAGAAATATTTTTTTTTTGATATTTAAATAAACTTTATTATTTATGATGATTTACATCAGTAAAATTATATAATTTTTTTTAGTTTCAGCGACATCTAGCGCAAGTATTCGGACATTTATCGCGTCTCTTCTAAGTGAGCTACTTAATACGAGTACCGTCAGTGACGCTTGCCTAGAAGCACGGATGTTGCCAACTATCACTGCGTTGCTATATGATGAGGACACGTAAGTATCTTTCAATACCCGTTTGCTTTATCTCCTTCTGCCAGACTCAATAGAGATTAAAGCTTTACGATCTCTTGACATCGTAAAAAACAAAAACGAATGTCTGGGGGAGCTGCCCCGACTAAATTGGCTCGAACTTCCTTCAACCACTTATCTCATCAATTCAATATTATCGCTTTGAAGAACTCTAAATATCTTTAGTCCATATAATGCAATAGGTCTGTATTGCAACGTTTGATATCAGTTGTTGTCCAATTAAGAAAAAAACGCATAACAATCATTAATATGTATTTAGAAACAAAAGTAGAAATAAATAAATAATCAATCTGTCCCTTTTTATCATTATTATAATACATTTTGTCAGAAAGAAAAGAATGAACGCATCAAGTTACCACACACAGGAGCTCCCGTTAAAGTTTAGTGTCTAGCGCTAGATCAATTTAGTCACAACCATATTTCTGTTATGAATTATACTTTATTATTATTATTAACTTCAACTTGAAAGCCGTATTTTTTTAAAAATAAATAACTTTACCTATTATGGTCGATTTTAAATTTGAACTGGAGCAAATTAATCCTTGGGATTGATTTGCTCCAGTTCAAACAATTTGTATGACTCAATACTTGGCGATTAAAAAGAGTGGCGGAAAGTTTCTTGCCAGTTGCTTCTTACCCGCTCTACGCCCTTGACTTGCGAACTGGTAGTAAATGTAAATTTACAATTAATTTAACTCCTTTTTTGACGTTCATAAGTGTACTTGTTTTCCTATATGAATAAAGATATTTTGAGTTTATTAGCCGTACGTAAACTAAAACCTTCAGTTTCAGGTAACGTACACCCAGGTTCGATTTCTAGAGAAATAAAAGTAAAATCATTTATTCCAATTAGACGACCTAAAATGGTACTTTTGAACGTCAAATAAAATATAAAATGATTCTAGTTGCCCCTTCCAAAAGGTAGTATCGTGTGGAGAAGAATGGGCAAGAAACTCCGCACTTACTCTTTTAAAATAGGTTTTACAATTTTTGTATACATTAAATAATTATATGTAAAGACAATGTTTTGGTATGTTATTTAAAGCTGGCGGCTTCAACACATTTACACATTGTGCTTGTGTAGTGTCTGTGAATAAGCGCGAGGTGTGATGTCAAACTGAAATACAACCACAAATACATCATGAAAAAACTGTCCGTCTCTCTCGCGCTCGGTCAAGCTTATGAGTATAAAAGAGACAGTTATTGTTTTGCTTTTGCTACTGTTTATGTTGATCTTTTTTCAAACATTACCAGGGCAATCTCGTGAAATGGTGCACAATGTTTTTAATTATTTTAAGCATCTTAATAAAAACAATTTAATGAAAAAATGTTATATTTCATTTGACATCAGATGCTGAAAGCTGATTTAATTTTTATTTTTTTATTTGTTGAAAGCTGGGTTCACCACCATACTCCTGAATCAAAGCAACAGTCCAAACAATGGAAAATATCTGGATCACCTACTCCGAAAACGGCTAAGGTCCTTGTGTCGACCAACAAAGTCTTGGCTAGATGGAGCGTATGTCGAAAAATGAAAAATTATTTACACGAACTACTCTTTCACGTTCTTGGTCTGGCTTATAACTTTTGGATCCACCCTCGTATGCACCTAATATTTATATGTATTTGACACATTTTTATTTATTTACAACCCACCCAACCTTACTAAAACCAGAGTGGACTAAAATATATAGCTTGGCAAAAAAAATCATATTTTGAAACATACTGTATGTGAAATTGCATTAGTGTGAGTACTGTGAACCCGCCAGCTTTCGATAACCGACCTATACTCCTAGAATAAAATTACTATACTCTGATTTTTCATTCCGTAGAATTCTGACATTTCATGAGTGTTGCTACTAAAAAAGTTCTCCACAGAAAAAGGGACAAATTTTATTTATAGGGCAATAAAAAAAATGCTACGTATTTTTTTATGCTTCACATACCTACAAAAAGGTAAATCTAAATATTTACTTATTCAAGTGACCTAATACAAAAGTAACAAATATTTACTATAAACTATATATCGAATTAACTTTAATTACTTTATTGTGTTCTTTAGCTGGCATCACTGCCTACTAATTCCAAGTTTAGTAAATCTTTAAAAAAAATAAGATGTTACCTTTACTTGTGCATTTTTTACTGTTTGTGATAAAAAGGGACGTAATTATCACTCGCCGTTAAACCACTTTTAATGTTGAGAACCGCAATTAATAAAATGGATACATTAACTAACAATAAAATGTATGTATAGACTCAGATGTTCAGACTCGTATTGAAATTGAAAAATGTGCCCGGCCAAAAAGGTTTGCCATCTCCGATATGTCAAAAAATGATAGGTGTCAGAATTCTACAGAATAAAAAATCAGAGTATACTAAAATAGGCACAAAGTATTACTTACAAAATAATAACCAATATTAATATTACAGATCAGTACGCGAAGCAGCAATAACTGCATGGGGAAGTGTCGCTCGGAGCTGCGTTGTTCGGGGTCTTTCAGAATCTAGTGCGTCCGTACATTCCCTGTGCTGGCCTCCGTTCGAAGAATTGTTCAATACCCGGCCCTTGACAAGTCGGGAAAGTGCGAAAGCGGCGGAAGCTTTAACACTTCTAGTACTGCCTACAGTGGAAAGTCATGAAGTGTCGGAAAAAGGTATAGAAATTAATCTAATTAATTTAAATGTAAATCTAAAATAGCAATCTTTTTTGTAAGAAATATAAAGTTTTTGTGCAGTATTGGCTTCAGCGTGAAATTCTCATCCCTGAGGTCGTAGGTTCGATTCCCGGCACCAATGGACTTTCTATGTGCATTTAAAATTTGCTCGAACTGTCAAGGAAAACATCGTGAGGAAACCGGCTTGACTTAGACCGAAAACGTCGACGGCGTGTCAGGCACAGGAGGCTGATCACCTACTTGCCTATTAGATTAACAAATGATCATGAAACAGATACAGGTATCTGAGGCCCAGACCTGAAAAGGTCGTAGCGCATCTGATATATGATGTATATAGTTTTTTGGAAATCGATTTTCTGAAAAATCAAAAATTAAAGAGATTTTTTCTACTCCCCTGCTCACTATAGCAGGGACCAGGGACGTTTTTTAATATGTTATAGAGAGATATATACTACATTTTAACGAATCTTATGTAATTTAAACAAAACACAGATGGTGCTAAAGCACTAAAACTGAAGTCAAAGTCAAAATCATTTATTCATTTAGGTAACACAATGTAGTGTACATAGAACGTCAATAATGAAATACATATTAAATTCTATATGTTTCTAATTTTACATTTACTGCCAGTTCTCACATCAAAGAACTGGCAATAAACTCTTCGCCACTCTTTTTAATCGCCAAATTTAACTATATGGGGCCGTTCGAGTATTACGTAAACACTATAGGGGCGAGGGTGGGTCTTTGATTTTCTTAGTTGGTGATTACGTCAACAGTAATTATTTAGTTTTTTACACATATTACCCACACATAGTCTATGCTTGAAAACGAAATGCATTTTCGAGGATTCCTACAAAAAAATGATACGTGAATGTACTATTATTTTTGAGAGCTTTGCTTACTGTTGCTGTAACGTAACGTAATACTTAAAACGTAACGTAATACGGCCCGGCCCCTAATGAATATTAAAAAAAAATGTTTTTTTTTAAATTAATTTTTGTCTATTATGGGCGTGATGATGGGAATTTTGATAAGAATAATAGCTTATAAAGTAATATTGTTTTTAATTAGTAACAATTTGATTAAATCGCAGATGTACAAAAATTAGTAGCTTTTTATTATTATTATTACCTAACCCATAAAAACCTTAAAATTTCAGCTGTATCGTTACTCTGCGGTCTCTGCTATCGGCAGCTATCCGCCGAGTGTTTATCCGCACTAACGCCAGGGTTACAACTCGCCGTGCACCACTGTTCGCATCATCCTGCATTGTTACCGGCTTTACGGTATTTATTTATTTATTTGCTCAACGGTATTCCTACAGCTACTTATTAAACAATATTCAAACAATTACACTGTACACAAAAGCCAAAAACGGAATACACATTTAAACATACACAAAGCACAGTTTCACCTATACAAATACAAGAAATATACAAAGAATATATGTATTTATAATAAATTCTAAGATCTAAGATTCATTGTTCATTATAATATATATTTAATACAAAGGATATTTATAGATGTGTTCTAAATTTTTATAGCCTGTAACATGGCTAATCTGGTCGATACGATGTCCAAAACAGAGCTTACTCCAACCTGAAAGGCCGGCAACGGATCCACCAAAATGGGTCCATAGTCTGCGGTGACTGCCTTTAGGGCTGTCTCGTAGGCTTTGTCTCCGTTATTAAAAATTTGTCAAAAGTTCAACGCGATTTAGGGAGCGTTCAAGTATTATGTAACGTATTTATTAAACGTTATTATTTATATTATTTTCGACTTTACAGCACATAATGGTAACTTTTAGGTATAAAGAGTCACTGGATGGTCACGAAACGTTTTACTATTGGGTACAGAAAAACGTTACGGCGCGTTACATTGTAGGACAAGAATCTACAAAAATTTCGTGACGTAAAACTTGAACGTAAAGTTTACGTAAATGAAACGTTTCAGTTATCCGGTATATATAATAGATATATATATATATATATATTCTTTTCTTATTTTTTTTTAAATCAATATGTAGTGGCGTATCTTTTCAAAGTACAAAAAATTCTCTATTCATCTTCTTTCTCCATTCGCTTGCTGCTAACGCTTCTGGTTTCTTCTATCTACCTTTTTCGACGACCTCTTCTTCCTCTTGGTCTATATAGTTGTACTTAAAGTCCATCTTTTATCTGTGGTTTAGTGCGAAAAACAAAAGGTATAGACAATATGCCCTAAAACAGAAGTGAAAAGTTACATAAGAAACATTAATTTTGTTTGGAAGAAATCACTCGAAAGCTATAAGACCGTGCGTTGCCCTCTTTATAATTTGTGCAGTACAAGAAATGGTAATTAAATAAAAATATGTATGATACATTTTTTTACAGCAAACTTGACGAAACCGTCCAATCACAATCGTCGTTAACGCAGTTTAAGCCCGCAATAGAAGCCTTGCTTCATGTGGTGAGCAATGAACCGATTCCTTCACCTCGTCCGGCATCGAACCTGCACACAGCACAGGAAGTGGGCAGGCGCATGACGCAGATGTTCCAACAGTCGAAAACTAATATCAATATACCAAATATATTCAAAAAGAAGACGTAGTATGTTATGTCATTTTTGACATCTGTCAACTTGGGGGCTGTCCATTAACCACGTGATGTTTTTTTAACCCCTCCCTCCCCCATGGTGATGCGTGGTGAGGTTTAAGACTACCCCCCACCAAAAATCACGTTTTTTTTTAGTACCTACAAAGAATCTTAAAAATTTTATAATATTCTTTTTAAGTACCGGTATTAAGTATAATCTAATACTATTCTAGAAAATTAAGGACCATGATTAAAATATCTAGACAGAAAGGTTGTTTTTGACTGGCATAAAAATAATATTAAAGGAATGGTGTAATCATACTAAAAACATATTTAATGTTCCCTGTCCTCCGACCTTCTTCAACACTAACAACTGGATAAGCATCTTGCAAGTCACTTGTTGGCACTGTGCTTGGTTGAAGATCAACGTCGGTTTCATCAAGTCACCCGGCGTTATCATTTTCGCGCACTACACAGAAAATCTCTCTCGATCTACCGATCGATCGTTTTTCTAAGCCGCTTTTCGGTTTAAAAATCACGCGATTGATGAAAAAATAAGTACACGTGATATCTTACTATATCCCCCTCCCCCTTGTGATATTTCGTGATTTTTGCCGAACCCCTCCCCCCCATTTCGAACCTCACGGGATTAATGGACAGCCCTTTGACGTTTGGTAAGAGCGAATAGGATTATATTTTTTTAATCTGGGAGATGGGAAAGGAATATTTATTAGGCTCTAAATTTGCATAACGTGATATAAAGTATTTATCTAAATTCTTTCAACATCAGAGGGGCTACTCTGTAAAATGGAAATCGATTTGCAAATTGACTGAATGGTCCGAACACGATAAAAAATAAGATATTGGAACTGGAGTTGAAAGTTTCAGGGTAATCCTGCTGCTAGTAGTATTTAGTTTAGGTTTCTGCAGCTAAACCCTATACCTAAGAAGAGCTTAGAAAAGATACCTATATTTTACTAAATTACTAAATATACGAAATATCTTACAATAAAAAATAATCACAATTTACAGCCAAGAGGATTTTTTATTGTCGTTGAAATTAAATAATACTCCTTTTTATTAATATTGTATTTAATTTTTTTAATTTGTCGCATTCCAATGCACGTAAATTAAAACTGTACTTAACTATTTTAGGAACATTATATAACAGTACAAATGCAATACTTAATAGTATGTAAGTATATGACAAATGTTAATTTTTATTGTTTTATCTTGAATTAAGTAAAAAAACCGTTTGTGTTAACGTGGAACCTTGTCAAATTAAAAATAACACGGCTATTAAAGTTTTGAAGATTTTTTTTTCATGAATTGGCACTAAGGCTGATTTTTATATATCGTAATTTAACTTTTTGTCTAAATGCAGCAATACAACGTAATATCCGTAATTATTAAAAAAAACTACGGGTTTCACTCCGGGAGTACCGGCAGAAGTGAAAACCTGAATATTAACGTTGTGCAGTTTTGATATTTTGGAAAGGTTAGGGAATATATCATTTATGTGGTAGAATACAATATTTATTTATTGCGCTATCGTACACAAACATGACAATTTATACATTAAATACGCCACGCCAGCTGTCTACTCTACATCCGTCGAATACAAATTTTCGATCAGGTCTCGTGTCCTGACGAAACCTGACTAACATTTTTTACCCATTCCAAAAAAAGTGTACAACGCCGCTAAAGAAGTTTTCACTTCAAAATTTTTTTAAATTTTTGGTTTCGTTTTCCGAAGCAGTCCAAATCTTTGTGTTTTATCTGAGAAAGAAAATCTAGCAGCGCTAAGTCGGCATTTTCTTAAAACGCGTTATGATACCTTTTATAAGCGAATACTATCACAATGATAAAATCATCCTGTGTGTAACATATATAACATAAAATAATTATTTAAGAAAAACGTGTAGTGTAAGATATGTATAAGATAGATATATAAATGAAAAAAAATGATCTTCGTTAGCCTGGTGCTAAAATTGTGCTTCCCTATAGTTTAATTTTTTTAGACCTGCAACAATTATTCGGCCTATATTTCGTCTGAATACCGAATAACTTCTATTCGCAACTGAAGCGATCAACTGAATTTGGTTGTACCGTCAAATTTAAATATTTTTCTCATGTATTAAATGGACATTTGCGGTGTCTATTAAAAAATAATCAAAGCCTAAAGTGAGATTACTACTTATTATTACACCTATTTCTTCTGGCTCTTAACTGAATACCACATCATATGTGGCTACGATAGCTGAGACGAAACTAGGGTTCATTACTCCTTTAGTGTTAACAAAAACCGTTAGTTAAAACCCGCAGAATATGCGGTACTCGGCAGATGGACGAATATAAGTAGTAAAGCTTAGGTTTCCTAAAAAAGCCGTCATTTTACGGTTGTTAATAACGGCTGTCTTTTCTTTTTAACATAATGCAAAGAAAACATCATTTTCGTCCAAGTCACGTTTCCACTCATGGTATTAATTAAATATGGGCCCCGCTACACGCGAAAAACGTTGAACTAATGTTTATCATCGCTATGACGGCCGTCATGCAAATGACAGCACCGCTATTTAACGTTACGGTGACAGTCAACGTTCTCTAGAAAACCTACTCCGATGTTATTTATAGACAACGTATGGGTGACGTCATCCAACGTTACATTACGACCGTTAGATAACGGCACCGCTTTTCTAGGAAACCTAATCTTAACAGTGTAAGATCTCAATTTGGTTGAATGATTTGAATAAATTTCCATTAAAATTTGATATCTAGAAAATAAAATGTATGAAATCCTATTTTGAACGTTATGCCTATTAATTAGTTACTATGAATCTCATGTTACATAGATCTTATTAGGTAAGCTGATAAATGAATGGTTCGTAAATGGCTTCCGGTCTTATGTAAAAAAATCTGAATTATTGGTCCATATAATAAAAAATTATGCGTCCTTCCACTATCTATCAAACATTTCAACGAAATTTGTATGTATTTATAACAAGCAAAATAATTGTTTTGTTGTAATTGTATTTTTTTTTAATTGCAAATATTTACTGACGTTCTTAATGTCGGGCACCATTTATGTTGTTTCTTATTTACCATGCAATGCTTTATTGATTGTTGTAATGTTATTGAATTAGTAATATATTCTATATTGCAATTTTATTTACGATACAAAGTTAGGTTGTGTTAATAAATATATGTTTTAGAACAAATTTCGTTTTTTATTATCATTACGCAACGGATCTAAGGAGCGTAAACCCTATAAAGGTAAACTTGTATGACACATATGTGTCGAAAGCGCACAAGCGGTGATGTATGAGTGAGAAGTTCTTGGCCACTTCTCATTATTTTCTGGTTACATTAGGTACTGGATACCCTAGGGTTTAAGAATAACGATGGCGTGCTTTATTGTAATACGTTAACAGCATATCTAGTCAAACAGCGTAGACACGTGAAATGATACGTTTACGTTTGTTCAATCACGTAGGCAATGTTTTGTCTTAAATGTTCATCAACTTGTAATACGTAGAAACAGAGACATTCAAAGATTGTCTTAAATACTAAAGACAGATACCGAACCAATTCGACTTAGGGTCCTTCAAGAAAAGAGCGTACCTCTGGCATTGAGAGTGTCCATGGGCGGCGGTATCACTTAACATCAGGTGAGCCTCCTGCCCGTTTGCCCCCGTTCTATATAAAAAAAAAAAAAAAAAAAGACAGATTTAGCTTGCTTAGCTAACACGGTCGGTTGACAAACGCTGGTGTGGAGATTTGGTCTAAGCCGTATTAAAAAGCTTATGTCGGACACCGCCTTCGCACTTTCAAAACATTCATATTCCTAGAAAGACACTATATTTATAAATAACTGGTATCCAGCCAGTCGAACATTGTTTCGTCGTATATATATATCTATAGATAATATTTAAAAAGTTGCCTAGTATTCATTATTATAGGTCTCTACTTATTCTATGATCTATCTACCCGACTATGCAGCGATAGTACTTTATTAGAACAATGTCTATGGTAATAAAGATCCATACATTTTTTTAAATGCTGCAGATAAAGTTACGTAGATAAGCATATCGTATACAGATTGTTAAAGATATCGTACTATTAATATAATTGCGATTTGAATCGTCCGCGTTCATCGATTCCACAATTAGCAGCGTATAGGGTGTTAACACCAGTAAGCAGCGTATAGGGTGTTAACACCAGTTAGCAGCGTATAGAGTGTTAGCACCAGTTAGCAGTGCCCTTTATGGGGTTACTGCTAACTTAACAGTAACATGCAAGCTGTGATGCCGTTCAGTTGTTACAGAAATATGGCGTCTGCTATCAAGAAATCTGTGGATTTTAACACAAAACATTTGAAAACAGGTTTGTGGTTATTAACTTAATTATTTTATGTATTTTGAAAATAAGCATAGATAATTTAATTTACTTTTTTTCCTAACGTAAAACTTATTTTTCAACGAGTTGAGATAGTTAAATATATAATTATAAATAGGTGGTACACAAGTAATAATTCGTTACTCATGTAGTATTTTTATACTATTGTAATCTAATTTGGTAGTTTATGATTTAGCTAATTAAGTATTTAGCTTAATTTGCTAAATAATAAATACCAGCGGTCGCAAATTATTTGAGCTGAATGATTAAATTACATATACGTACATATGTCTTCTAAGACAATATCTGTATTTAAGGAAATTGAATTTAATTATATTTTCCATTTTATATTATATAGATACTTACTTACTGTTAAATACATTTTTGAAAGATTTCGAAAAGGGAAGTTCAAAATGATATTGTTCTTTTTTTATGTATGTCCCCCAATTACTAAAAGCTCCTATACCAATTTGTAAATTATTATTTTTTAAACACTTTTAGAGCTTTAGCATTTTAGAGATGTAATAAAAAATAATGAATTAATTACCAATATTATGATATCTAATGATAGTTTTTTTTTATAATTATAACTACCAAAGAATTACTATTTTGTGTAATTTT